AGAATGCAAATATCGTAACACCGTCGTCAAGATTTATTACTTTCCGGACGTACGCGGCAAACACAAGACAAATGTAATCGCAACTTAACAAACTACGTGCACCCTACGAGACAAATACCACAGATTCCGAGCAATATTAATTGGGAAAAGATTAAATTAATACCACTTCAGTTTACTCTAACCCCACTCCCACTATTCCACAAACTATAAATCTTAAAGGTCTTCTGAATTTAGAAACATTTCATTGTAGAAGTTCCCCGTTGTCAGTAAGTGCAAAAAGTCCATATACTCTGAAATTTTGAAAATACAAGTCTCAAAATCCAAAATAATCAGATTTCCAAAGTATCCAAGTCCTCAAAAAACTAGAATTTTTATATTCATTTTAAGTTAAAGAATATCAGATGTTCCATGCAATATTATACACAACGTTAAAACATTTCCAAAATCAGATATTGAACAACCTATGAATTTGACGAAAATGTCACTTGTGGACTAAATTTGAAAATATTTGTCAAATGATGACGTAATTATCTTAAAGTAACCACACTCCCGTTGTTCGACAAGTTCTACAAATGTTTAACGTCTTGAAAGTTCCATATATTCTCAAATTTTGAAAATCCGAATTTCAAAAACCAAAATATTTTGATTCCCATTTTAACAATTGTTCACTTTCGTGTCAAGATCAAAATAAAAATTCTGCAATTTCAAACATACGAAGTCAAAAGTTCCATATATTTGAATATCAATTTCTGCGTTGTCATTGACCTGATCCAAGAAATGTAATAATTCTCAATTGCATGTACGTTATGTACGGTCGTAAACACCCAACTTCCACTTCAACAAAACCTGCAAGAGCTTAAATAGCAATGCAAATATCATCAAATCGAAAAAAAAGAGCTTTTATCGAGTAACTAGTCTGACTAGACCGTGTAAAATCAGCCTCATCCAATCGAATCGAGTCAATACATACTATACCTTTCACAGTAAAATTATACAGTGTGTACAGCATTTACAGAAACACGTCTTCTAATTACCGTCGTCGTCAAATGCACAGTCTGCGAGCTTAAATGGCAAAGCGATTAACATATTAGAACAAACCTAAAATGGAAGTGTCGGCAAACAACTGTGTAAACACTTTTACGAGACATCTACACAAAATCGCCTTATACGAACCTTATCTGCGGATAAGCTCACAAACTTAATTAATCAGAAAAACCGTTTCAATTCGCCGCGTATTTTCCTCTTAGAACTTTATCTCGAAGCGACAACAAAGCGAGAGGGTGACACTTTTCAATGAAAAAAATTAAACGTGATGTCACCGAATCGTGCGTTTTGAATTATTCACTGTACGTAGTATTTGTGGGACAAACAACGAAAAACACTGAATGGATTGATGACGACAATATTAAAAAGTTTCGGGCTAGTCACGACTACCTAATCGCATATTAAAAAAAAAAAAGTTTCCTCATATACGAGTGTGAGAACCGTTAGGCATACACAAACGATGGCTTGTACAAAGCGAAGAGCTTATTTTCCAACGTTTTACATTGATTTTTCCAGCCGTGTGCCTCAAGCTATACAATTCTTTAATTTATATTTGTAAATTATACACGCTGGATGATTTCATTAAAGCCTACTCGGTTAAATCGGTTAAATATCTGGAAAAATCCTCAAACGTTATATTGCGCTGTCATCCACAGCTATAAACAGTGAAATGGAAAGCAAAAGCGAACCATCTTTCAAAAAAACTCAATAAACAGAATTATCAAATTTGGCAAGGAAACCGCTTGTTTCTCTACAGAAAAAAATATATAAATTATGGTTTTACCAGATAACCGGCACTTATTCTTTTGATTTATTGGATGAGTTTAACAAAAAAGGACCTTTTTCCACATATTATGTAGCCAATATATCGCGGAAATCACATCGATGTTACATTTAAAAAGTGACTTAAAGCTCGTCGCGTAACTATTACGTTATTTTTCAACCGAAAATTAATCAATAGCAATGCGGATAATTGACCACTTAGTTGTCCATTAAACGTTGAACGTGTCACTTCATAATACCATTTGACATGCATTACCACGAGACGTCACTGTCCTAAACTCATTACTTTCGACGAATTTTATTCATGTGACGTGTCACCGAAAACCAAACAAAACTAACGCGGATGACAAAAACAAGCCAAGTAATCGAGCCATTTCCGATAAACTTTATTCCCATAAATTAATATACCCTAAACCCTACCATTTATTTCGCGCAATTTAACTTTCATCATCTTATTCTTATTCACTTAGTGTCGGAAGTCTTCTAAATCGAAAACTTTCCTGAAGATTGACTTCAAACACCAATATAAATAAATTATCCCGAAATTCATCCAAAGAGATAAAACTTAATCAACTCCTTTAATAATGCAAACAACTCAACAGTTATTACTGGAATAATTACATTACACAAATCCGACACGAAATTTACTCGCTCTATATTTTTATACTTCTTTTTTACAGAATAAGCAATCAATATGGGAGATAACTCTGGACTTTCACCTTTTAAATATGGAACTCATGTTTAATAAACCCTCCAAAAACAAAATAATGTGATAAAGGTTTTGTCGTGTGAACTCGTGAACAAAGCACCTAACACATTCAAAAAAGACTAACCCTCGTTATATGGTTTATTGCTGATATGAAACTTCTCCTTTTTAAGCGATGTTTATGGATTTATGATCAAACCCCGGACTGGCAACTGCACGATACAAGCTTTGTCTGGAAAAAGGTTGATGAAAATTAATAAATTAACGAAGAGAAAACAAACTTCACTTGAGTGCTATCCCTAATTAACATTTATCATTCGATTAACTTTCAATGAAGTTTAAAGAAAATAGATCGCCTAATTTGAACAAACAATAACACTGAATTACGTAGTAATCTGAATTTTAAAATCATTAATTTACATTAATTACTCGTCAAATTTATTTAGAGAATTGTTTTATCGCGCATTCAGAAATTGAATATCGATGCTATAATTACCAAATACGAGTGGAGCTAAAATTGTTCCTTGACAAGTTCCACCCAACAGTTTTCATCTCAATAATAAATAAAATGCGAGTTAATTATTCACTAAATCTCCAATTCCAATATTGTCCACCTAATGAATAATATATTCTAGCAGTGTCAAATAACTTAGAAGGTCACGTGAAACAAATGCACATAATTTTCGATAATCTGAATGCATATTAATTTTTGGAAAAGATCGTAACTCTTGTATTTGTTATTTTTTCACGACAAAGAAAACAAAAGATTATACTTACACTTACATATACACATAAACTTTTTTCTTAAATGCACGTCACTCAAGTTTGACCAAAAATGTAAAACAACCACGAGAAAAAACCTTACTTATCTCTTATCATACTCAATCTATCAAAAACCGGTATCTCGATAAAGGAACCAGGAAAAATATAAAATGATTCTAAAACACCGAATTAAACACAACTACTCTACTATACTTTTTGCGTTATTCTGACGGACGATGCCAACCTTTGTCGTGACAATTAAGATAAGTTTTAGGGTAAATAGGAGTAAAATGCGATATTCACCGCCACAACAACAATAATAACAGTTCCTGTAGGACTTTAGATAACAAAGCTAAAATTATTATTTACGCAAATTACGCACACAAGTTAATCAATACTAACACTAAACAGAGCGGCGTAGATAATGCGAGCGAGTACGTTTAGAATTTTCGCTGCCATTTTTTAAACTTTCTTCATTGTTATTTCATTTAATAAATTTACGTCGTTATTTATTTGGTCAAAGATTAGATCTAAACTTTATGTTAGCTGTTGGCTAACAATGAAACATCATGAACGGGCACAATACAAGTTTTCCGTTGTACTGTAAATCAAGAAGCGAAATAAATGTTACTTACATCGTTACTACGCCTGGTTTATTGACAATGCTGACGTTTCACTCATCTAACCAATGAAAATTAATTGTACACTGATTTACGATTTCGTTAATCGTTGGCATCCTTAATCGCGGTGCAATATTAGTTTTTATAAAAATTCAATTCAAGTTTGTTGGAAGCTGGTGAAAAAAAATTATGGAAGTGATTCGTATTTTCGTGGAGTGTTAATCGTAGTGGACAGTCGTAACCGTAAAAATGAGAGCGCGCCTTTATATGGCCGGCGTCAGTGAACTTTTTATAAATCGGTTCTTGAATACTACCGGCGTTTACTAGTAGGTAATAAAATGAGTAATGAAACGGGTTATTTGAAAATGTTTTTCTTGAAAGTGATATAATGTCCATGTTTGTAATTGTCTTTATTGAAGTTTGTATTAGCCCACAAGTTGTATGTTTTATTTTTGTGAGTGTTTATTTTGAAAGCACAACGATGTATAACGATAGTATAGGAATGTCATTAAAAGTAGATTACGGCAGATGAGTGTAGATAAGTAAGTAGTAAGTGATAATATCCATCTGGATTGTGTATTTGAATTGTAAATGACGTAGATGAAAAATGTGAAGGAAAGTAAATTCGAGTGTAAATAGAGAGAGAAAGAGAGAGAGTACATACCGAATCGGTGCACTTGTTTATTTATTACGTTGTATTCGGGTAAATTCTCGAGCGCGTCACTAATTGAGATATTATGCATATAATTGGAGTCCCCACCATCGGGAGACCCACCCCACCCACAACAAAAACACGTGCTGTCTACATCGTCGGATCATAAAGGTCAAGAGCGCGGTTAATTATATCGCTCTGTTACGTAAGAGTTTATCACAATCAGCGGCGGCCGCTCAGGGGTGGCAGGGTGTGCGGCGAAAATCTCGCGTACGAGTACTACTTTACGTGCATGTCACTAAGCAACAAACGCGCTGAAACCAGACCTTGCTTGCAATTTTCTGGCTCGGGTAGAAAACGGCTCCGCCACCCGGTCGAAGTGCACGAGCCGCCACTGAGTGGCGCGCGAATGGAGGCGAGAAGGGCGACTTACCGCTGCATCGGGTGCGTGTGCGTTGGGGGTGGTCGGCTGCGCCGGCCTGCTCGGGAACGCCTGGTGCTGGGCCTGCTGGTGCTGGGGGCTCGGCGGCAGGCCGGGGCCGGGCGAGTGGCTGGGGGGCTGCGGCGAGGGCTGGCTGGCGGGGGCCGTGGTGTTCGGCGGGCCGGGGCTGCCGGGGCCGTGCTGCCCCGAGACCGGAGGGGCGGCCCAGCCCGCGCGGCTCTCCCCGTAGCCGGGGCTGGGCGCCGAGCCGCTGTACGCCGGCGAGAGCTGCAAAAAAGGGGCGTTCAGTCGGGGCACGCTAGCGTGGACGGAGCACCACCACGCTAGCGTGCACTTAGCGCCGGCACGTGGGCGCGGGGGTGACGCGATTGTTGCTAAACACGAGGGGTCGGAAACGCACAATAGCTCCCGTTGACCTACCGCAACACATTCCGCAATACAAGTTCGACTTTCTGACGCTCATAAATCACCACGGTATTCGGAGGACAAAGTGCACATTTAAATTATCACACTCTATTTCCCGACTAACCATTAAATGTCGCATTATTAGCACACTAAAACTGACGTCAGGAAACGTAACTGCGCGCTGTTCCTTAAAAGCCTTCCCTCGTAACGCGAATTACAACTATTGCATACCGACAATAAAGTAAATTTACGCCGACGATCACTACAATAAAACCAAAGGAAAACGACCAAAATACCGACCTAAAATTCGGCCTTCCACGGCCCGCCCACTTGCGATTCTCATCCCGACTCAACAACCGAACTCGCCTATTTATTATTATTATTATTATTATTAGATGTTAGTCTATAAATGTGAACCTAAATATACTAGTCTAAAACCAAAAATCGAGAAAAAGAATAGGACTTCACAAGTTGCACAAGCTAATTCTAAATCTGCAATCTTTTTTTCTGGCAAAAATGTAACCTCGTCAACCAATTACATGAAATTTTACAAATTGGATTTTAGATAACAATTTTTCTTTAAGTAAATGTCTTATTTTGTATGATTTTCTGCAAAAGAAACTATACAAAACTCACTTGACATACACCTTGTAAATTTTTTTTGACTTAAGCGGCTTAAGCCAAACCACCCATAAGTCAAACTGGCTATTGTAAGCTTTATGAACCCCCCATTGTTGCCATAATGGAGCTGTAAAGTTTTACTAAGAATATGTGAACTGAGTTAAGTTATACAATAGCTAGTTTGACTTACAAATTCTTTGGCTGAAGCCGCTCTAGTCATAGAATTTTTATAAGATGTATGTCAAGTGAGTTTTGTATATATTGGGCATTTTCACTTTTGATGATCACAAAAACTTAATTTTGTAGACCAGAATTACAGACCAACGATAAATTGGCAACCTTAAGTCAATAACAAGAAATTACTGCTTTACTTAGACTGAACGAAAAACTTACAGTACGAAAGGAAAGAAAACAATCCGTACAGCAGCGGACAGACAGACGGAAACGGAAGACCTATTTCTTCGGTACTCTAGGGGTCATGAAAGGTCGAGAAAACGTAAAAGTAGAGTCGGTCGACGGACTCGATTACAATTCGTCCTTCGCTTACGCTCGGGAAGTAAAAAGACCAAGAATAAAAGTAAAAAATACTTTTCTAGATTTGAAAAACGTAACACTTCAGAATAAAGGCGAGTGTTAGCAGATAAAAACGGGTGAGAGCGACTGAAGGATCTTGGAATGAAAAATCATGATTTAGTAAGAAGATCGGAAAAGCCTTTTTCGCCTCGTGTTCAATCGTATCTCGTATCTTGCAGGAAGTCCAGAATGAAGTGACAGCTACTTCAGGTGTACCACAAGGTTCCCACTTGGGTCCCCTATTATTAGCTTTTCAAAAATAACCTCCTGTGTCATCATGTCCTGTTTTAGCATATAACAACATACTACTATTGTAAAAAATTGGATCTCCTTGCAAGATGGTGTACTAGACACAATAAAATTCTTAATATTGCAAAATGTTTTGTTATATTTCAGGAGATCTTGTATCTTTTACAGACTTAATACTCGATATTTATTTAACCGACCAAAAAAAAAAAAAAGAGGACAGAATGAGTTATTTTTCCTCAAGTTCAACTTTTGTGGAACACTAGAACAGTGTACTGCATGTTTTTCTGCATTAAACTCCTTTTGGTCATTTTGGTTTGGTTTCCATTGTAAACACCACATGCTTTAAAACTGGCCACAATCCAACGACGTTTTATGAATATCCATCCTAAAGACTTGATGGTCCTTATCCGGAAGTGGGTGTAAGCCAGGATTCCTCATAACTCATAAATCGAATTCCGTTTAATGTTCCCAGAATTTCACCAAGATCCGTCGCCAGTTTCCACCTACCTATCATGAAAATCAACATTTTACATCGGCCACCATTTTTTTTTTTTTTTTTTAATATAGAAGTCACTGATTGGCATTTTTTGTTTATAATTAGTGAATAGAAAAACCTTTAAGCAAAGTATATAATGTGGACAATGAGCGCCCTATATGTGAGTGGTGCGATTTGACTTCAGTCCACGTCTGTCCAACAATTTCTTCGATGATGTTACATGAATAGGGATATTTAGGACTTTCTGGGACACACGGTAAAACCATTGTGTCCGACACAGTTTTTTCGAGGCCTCGACCCGCATCGGTGTCGATGGTATAGTTTTGGAAATTTCATTGTACCCTATAAAATTTTATTGACAATAACGAGACGGACAGTAGTACAATGGTAAGAAATATTTATGGCTCACACCAGTGCATCCGAATTTGCAGGAGAACATTTAGCAGGTAGTTGTACTCATAAAACAATGGTCATTTTCGTTCGTGAGTAACGATGGTCCCTGTCCGGACCCGGATTATTCTGGTTTCTAACATCTGGGGATTACCGGCACGCGACAAATTTAAGTTGTAAATATATCTTGCTATTGTACTACTATTCGCCTCGTTATTGCCAATAAAATTTTATCGGGTAGAAAGAAATTTCCAAAAACTTATATACAAAATTATATCATCTGCATTGGCATCCAAAATTTTTTACGGATGTACCATCATAATAAATTATATGAAGACTTAAATTAATGATTATAACCATGCTTTTCCTCTGAATCATATCGAAAGGACTTTAAAACCTGGAAATATTAAAACTACTAGAAATTTTAATGAGATACAAAAGTTACTATTATCAGTACTTGTATGTTTGACTTATAAATCAGCCGTAGCAACAATTTTTTATAAATTAATCATACAAGGCTTTATATACATAGATTTATCTGTTTCCTGTGAAATGTACGTACAAAAATGTAATTTAGATAATTGGTTTTCCAACAGTATTATTCTTAACTTTATCAAATTTACGGCTTCTTTGTAAAAAACACTCTTTGATGTTTCGCACCTAAAATGTCAACGGCAAATAACTTTTATTTTTAGAAGCCGACTTACAACATTATATGGAAACCGTAAAAACTAGAGATTTCGAATTTACTTTCAACAGCGTTTCGCAGTTTTCCTATTTTAAACAAAATGTCACCAAACACCATTTCACTCTAAAGACAAATATTTCACTGTCTTCGTACGAAAAATTACCACTTAGTTGAGTCAAAAATGGACAGTCTGCAACTGTTAATGATGAAAAAAGCCTGTTCGCAATCCCCAATATTTCTTTGATAAATGGTTATGACCGAACTGCGGTCGAATTTGGAGTACGAGTGTTACACGCCGACAATAAAATAAATTTATGCCGGGAATGATAAAAATAAAACGAAACGAAACTTCAGATGCACGAATGCAGAACGGAGAACAAGCCGGGAAAAGTACACGTCAAACTTTTCACATGTACATATAAAAGCCGCTCTCAACTCGGAATTCAACACCTTCACGTGTCAAACCGTCCAAATCAATAAACTATAAGAGACAGAAACAACTTCTGAAACATTCGAGAGTTCCGGGATAACTCTAACCGACAAAACCACCGTCGAGTTACGGATCTGCTGTTTGAAGATACACGTGAATGGAACAAATTTGATTTGCATTTCAACTAGAAATGTGCCAGTCTCAAGCAATTCCCCATACTACGACAAACCACCGGTTAAAGTGTCATAACCTGTTCAGAACGCGTGCTACAACTTATCGCTTTTCAAACTCTATTGTATTTTATTCCTTTGGGAAGCTCATTCTCGATTAGGGCTCAATTTATAAATACATTCCTACAGACAACTTCTGTATTGTAACTGACAGAAAACATTTTACGTTTCAAACTTTCTTAACACAACAATTCCTTTTTACCAGCATTCAGCGAATACTTCGAGCTTACACAAGGGTTTATACGAACCCACAAATATTTCGGAAATTTTATATAAAATAATCATTTTCAAATTGTTTTTGCAACTCTTGATTCAAATGAAGACCAAAGAAAAATCCTACAAGAATTTCCATGCTGAACGTGCACTTGAGTCAAACGTAGGAAGCCTTTGTAATCAAAAGTCTACTGTAGTTCAAAATTTATTCAGCTACACCAACTCCGCACTTCCACTCAATAAATAATTAAAAATGCTTTGCCTCAACTTTACTTTTCAATAAATATTTTAATATTGCGAGAAGTTTTCAAATTCATTTGCAAAAATTAATTTTAAATCCGCAGAATGTGACTAATTAATCTCATGTTGTTCAACTTCTTCCAACTTTTAAGACAAAATGTAAAATCATTATATCTCATTATATGAAGTTCCCAAACCTAAAGTTACATTTTTTTTTTTTAAATTTCTACTTCCGGAAAATACACAAAATTTGAGTTATGCACAGATTGTATTTTCCGCTAAACAAGGAGTCAACTTTAATAATAACCGCTTGTAAAACTGAATGGCATAGAAAGGGGATTGTTTACCAAAATGGTTATGTCAAAGAACAGGTGTCTCTATGTAAGAGATTTAGATAAGTAATCCTTTTGTCACGTTATTGGTCCCTGCAGTTTTACAACAGGTTGTTCCAGTTGAGTTGGTCACGACTATTAATGACACTCTAATATGCATTGGAAACATGGAAACGAATTTTCAAGTTTACTTGTACCAAAAAAAAATACTCCAAAATTTATAAATCTGAAACTTGAAACAAGGATATTTTGAACCATAAACTTTTTTTATAGTTTTGCGCTGTATTCCCTACGGTGAACATTTCAAGCCGCACTGAGAAACAAAAAAGGAAACATTCCAGTTTTATGGCGTGAAACCTTTGAAATGAAATTTAACTTCCTTGAGATTCAACGTCAATTTAATGGCGCAAAACGTACAATCGGTTTTAAATTATAATCAATTATGAGAATGGTGTCAACACAAGTATAAATCAATTATTTATTTGTTGACTTAACGGGAAAACGCGGAGTTTTAGATATGTGATTTATCAATTCTACAATGTTTAACTTGGCTCAAGTGACAATCAGGTGAAACAAACCGACAAACCGCGCCTGTTTTCGACGAGTTAAATACCGATAATGAAAAAGGCTCCTGGTGAGTGCTCGTTTGACGATTAATGAAAAATAAAACAGTGAGTAATTTTTCGAATGCAACTTCGTACTTCATGCGTAATAATAACTGACATGTCGACACGAATGCGACAAATTAAACATACACAGTACAAAGTTAAACAACTTAGCACTCAAACTCTTTATTTATGTTGCACGTAATTTTCGCTCTCTTCTTGTTTATAAATAAATACTCCACAAATTAATAAACATGTTGTTTAACACGAAACTTCACAACTGTGAAAATAAAAACAGCAACCGTTCGACATTTCAGTTATGAAAGTATCCAAAGCAAATAAACCAAATCGCGTAGAAATCATTGATGCCAAAATCGGAGCATCAAAGCCTCACACACATATAGGTTCATCGATGATTTAAGCAAATCGCTGTTAGAGTAACTCGGAAACTCGTAACTTGAATCGTTGTTCTGCACGTGGTGTTAAATAAACGCGTCGGATTCTGTACCCCCAATTATATTACACAAACGAAAGCTACTACGAGATCAAAAGTTTTATCAATGAAATCGTAGTACTCGCAATACAGTTGTTGTTTTCACTTGTGTTAAAAAATAGTAAGTGTTCGAGGTTGATTACTGAACTGGGTGATCTTCCGTCCGTAACTCAATACTATATTTAAAGGAGTGGACGGCGATAAATAACCATAAATGTGCTGATTCCCTTTTGTCGGCTTCCAGTTCTCAGCTGATAGAAATACACTGAACCAACCAGGACATTAATGAGACAGAGGAAAAAAGGCGGCAAGTTAAGAATCAAAAGACCACTACAATAACAAATAAATGTTTTTTTTTGTTTTTTAGTTTGACGAGATCGTTTGGTGTTATTGACACATTTTACGCATGGTCGTGGAAGAAAAAGATGCAAAATGAGAAACTTAATTTGGCTTATATGTATATTTGGGGAAAATTATACAGAGTGGATGAATTAACATACGTTCGTAGTAAGAGATTAAATATATCTAGTCGTCTGGGTGAAATTTATTAACGAATTATGATAATTTCATTTTTATGGTGGGTCTATCTTTCTTAATTGGTATTGTAATTAAAAAATAAAAACGTGTGTACACACAAAGAAAGCTCATTAAATGTTAAATTTAAACACGTTATTGTGGTGAATAACCTAAAATAGTAGAAAAGTAAACAAATACTTTTGGAATGTGTTATTTATTGCAAATGAAATTTCTAGTACTTCCTATTTACGATATCATTATTGAATAAGTATTGTTAAAGCAAGCTATAAATAACGTGTTGAGTCAGGTCGTTAATAAATTTCGTCTGATATTAGAGTTCGACCTGTAAAATAATAGCGCAGTTTCGTCGGTGTTTTAAGCCCCACACGTACGCATAAATTTAACAATGTAACGAAGAAAATAAACAAAAACGATCGTGTCGCGGTTTCGGTAAATATATATGTATCGGTGCGATTGTGAGAATCGATTTAGTCGAAATTTGCGAAAAACGCACGTAGAAGAGTCCGATCCCGGTCGGAAGGCGGAAAAGGGCAAGGAGCGACCCGAAAGCGTCCAACTTAAGGGGGTCGAAGGGCGGGCATATGTGGGAGTACGGGAACCGTTTGACGTCACATTTGCGACACGTCAGCTGATTGCATAATAACAAAGTGGGCGGTGCGGTAATCGTATGTCAGAGCAAGTTCAAGGACGGACTTAGCATGTTTAGATACACTTGAACAATTAACAAATGTATGCACCACCGAGGGTGCCGGCGACCGGCGGCCGTGCGACGGGTGCTCACGTGGAGACGTTCGCGGGGTCCGCGAGGTCTGAGACGCTCTCGACGCTTTTCCTGCCATGGGTCAGTTTAGGGAAAGCGGCGTCGGGCTCGCGGGCTGGGACTTACCGTGGGCTGGCTGCGGTAGGGCGCCGGCGGGACTCCCGGCGCCGCGGCAGGGGGCGTCCCGTAGGTGGGCAGCGCCTTCTGGGGCCAACCCTGGTTGTAGGGCTGGTCGGGGTGGCCGTAGCTGTTCTGGTAGCGATTGGGGGGCATCGGGTTGGAGCTCTGCAGCAGCTGGTTGAGCGTGGGGGTCGGGCCGGTGGGCTGCGAGAGGGCCTGCCCCGAGACGAACCGCTGCGTGTAGGGCGCCCCGGGGACCTTGGGGCCGAACGCCTGCCGCGGGCCGAACGCGTGGCCCTCGCTGTTGTGCACGTCGCGGCCGTAGAAGTAGTGGCCGTCGGCGGGGGGCTCGGCCGGGAAGGCGTCGGGGGGCGCGCCGGGCCCCGGCTCGGCGTCGGGTGCCTCGGGGGCCGCGGGCGCGGGGGCCCCGGCGGCGGCGGCCGGGCCGCCGCTGCCGTCCGGGCGATATTGACTCATTTCTGTGACGAGGTTCTTGCCGCCGGTGTTTTTCGCCTTGGCGACCGCTACACCGCCGCCTCCGCGAACTCCACTCTTATCGGTCCCATTTTGCAACAAGGAATTCCGCACGTTCAGATGCTGATCCGGCTGCACTTTCTCACAATTCACGTCATTTTGCTGCTTTTCGGCCTGCGTTGCAGCCATGTTAAGAAAAACGGCTGCGATCTAGCACGGCCGATCGTTGCCAACACCCCGCCGTTATAGTCAGCAGCGGATGCTTTCCTTCATTTTGGGAGCCCGATTCGCACCCGGGTCCTAGCAAACACATACTAGATTACTCACTTTAGCACTTTTCCGATTCTGTAAATAAATAACGCCACCAAACTTTTTGAATAATCCAAAATGATGGACACATCTGACACACACAACTTAATTCCGTATCTACTCCAATAACACGAAAGGAGGTTATGGGTAAAGCTCCGATTCCTACGCCAACATATTATCATGTAATTAACGCATTTCTAACACACACCCAATACAACTACGTCAAACATAACTCACCGACATTATTTATCAGCCATTTTTACTACAAAATTCTTCCTATCGTCGAATAAAACCCACACAAAAATCACAAAAACTCAGATCTACTTTTCGCCATCTTTAAGCTTACTCCATTGTGGCGCTGACTTCCACAGCCGACTTAGAAACGCGCGGATTTTTCACAGTCGACAGAACGAGCGCCAAATTTAAAAACACCATACAACCGAATTAACCTTAACCCATTCCTTTTCATCAATCAACGACCCCAAATCGATATCATAACTACCAATTAACAAGAATCCGACACTATCCCCCAACCGACACTGAATTAGACATTCATTCAAAATTTATCGCCCCAATAACATAAACGGGTCACCTAATAAAAACGCTCACATTTTACTGCATGTTTATTTCGTTAAATTGTATTCAAATGAATTGTTTATAAAATATACAATACACTGTTACTTAATAAAACATTTTTTTTTAAATCAAACAAACACCTGAACCACTCAAAACAAACGTAACATATGGCAATACTTTAATTATGACAAAACAACCAACTCGACCACTAACTGTATTTAAAAAACCTAACAAGTACATAAATGCAAAATTTTGTGGATTAATGGCATTTTATAATTCTACAAAGTGCAAAACATTTACTTGAATATATCAATAAATCTCGATGTCAATACAATAATAATAACAGTTATTAAAAAACTATATCAATAAAATTTCGATTTAATGAATCATTAAATAATTTTAAACACATGAACTCTAACCATAAGATTTTAGTAAGTAAAACTATAAAGCATTCAATAATATCACACAATTTTCAAAATCGCGCTTCAAACAACAAAAGGTTTCTCCAGAAGACGCGATCATCATGATGACCCAAACTCATTCATCCACTTCTCATACTTATCCAAGTCTTCTTTAGAAACACTTTTATTATTCTTAAGCAACGCTTCTTCAAAATCCCTATTAGTAACAGGCAGATCCAACTCTTCTTTAGGCAACTGTTTAATCTGATCAGGTCTTAAACCATAAATTTTTCTTCTCATCGACATCATGGAAGCATCTCTACAAACATTTGTTATATCAGCACCAGAAAAACCATCCAACTTTTCAGCAATGTCGTTCAAATTCACGTCAGGATCCAGCTTGACTTCTCTGAGATTTATTTTTAAAAGAGCCTCTCGACCCTCTTGAGTCGGTAAAGGTATGTATATACGTTTTTCCAAACGACGGCGAAGAGCCTCGTCTATGTCCCACGGGAAGTTAGTAGCAGCCAAAACCATCACCACCTTTCCAGGTTCATCATTATTAGCCGTTATTCCGTCCATTTGGACCAGTAGCTCAGATTTCACTCTTCTTGACGCTTCATGTTCAGATTCTGATCCTCGTCGCGAGCACAAAGAGTCAATTTCGTCAATAAATATTGTACTGGGGGCATAAAACCTAGCCTAAAGATTGTAATGTATAGTAAAAGTTTCCAGAAATTATTACAACCCTACTAACCATTTCAAACAAAAGTCTAACCATTTTCTCAGATTCGCCACGGTATTTTGATGTTAAAGTTGATGATGAAACGTTAAAAAACGTCGTGCCGCATTCTGTAGCCACAGCTTTAGCCAACATGGTTTTTCCAGTACCAGGTGGACCTACCATTAGAACTCCTTTCCAAGGCCTTCTTATACCTGAATGAATACATTATTGAATGCTAAATATAGTGTGTTAACGTCGTACCTGTAAAAAATTCTGGCATCCACATGGGAAGCACCACAGCTTCTTCAAGCAAACGTTTAGCTTCATGCAGATCTGCTATATCATCCCAATGAATGTTTGGGTTCTTTTGGACAATATCTCTTTCAAGAACGTCTGCTAATTCTCTTTCCATGCCGTGACATTCAAACTTCTTCTCTTCCTCTGGTTCCACTTTCTCATTTTTATCATTATTCTCTGCATCTTTTTCTTTATCAACCTTAGTAGCATCTGGGTTTCTTTCAGACTTTGATGAAGAAGGTCTGTCTTCCTTCTTTGCTGTTCTAGTTGGTCGAACTTCTGATCTTCTAGCAGTGTTTGAGGAGCTAGCTCTGGAAGTTCCTTTCTTGACTTCTGGTTTCTTCACATTGGACTGTCTCGGTTTATAGTTGTTTCTAAAATTCTTAATTATTGAAAGAAGTGAAATTTAGATTGACAACCTCTGGGTGTATCCATGATCTACAGGAGTTGGAGGAGGCCACACATCAGGATCATTCTGTTGCATTATAAAAGGATCTTCTGGTAAAATATCACCATAGTCTCTCACTGGTTCGTCTCTCAATCTTCTCGCTCCCAAAGGCACTTCTACATTAGTGTCTAAACGTAACGTTTGCAACATTGCTTTCAGAACTTTAATTTCATCATATTCCGAAGCAACTTTTTTCTGAACCTAGAAAGACTTGTTTAGTTGAAGATTGAATTGACAAGTATATTGTGCATACTTGTTGCCATTTACTCTTTCTTAATGGTTCTGGTATCATAAGAATTAATCTACTTATCATCTGAATGGACCCTTCATAATACACTTCAGCACTTTCGTAGTTCCCAAGCATTGTCATTTCTCGCGCCAGCGTTACATTATCACATATATCCCTAACAGTAACAGCCATCACTACCATGCCTGTATGTGGTCGAGGAATTTCTCGAAGAAATGTTCCCTGGAAACTGAAATGTGAGCATTCAACACATGTTCGATTTTTCCGCGGAAAATCAATCCACTCGAAAAAGCGTGACCGCAGCTTTAAGGCTCGGCCTCAACACTAAAGAAATGAAGTTTTTCTTACTTTATTTTCTTTCGAGTGCTAAATATAAATTTCTACAACAATTTTAGTCCGTGTTTGACACATTAGATTGACGTTTGACTTATACGATTAGAAAGTTTATTGATAAGAAAGCTACCAACTCATCTACATATTCCCCTAGATGTGACAACATAACCTCATAAATGTCACACTTTAAAATATTTTTTACAATAATAAAATTTTACAGCGTAATTTTAAATTTTTTATCGAAGTTATTTTATACGAATTACAAAAACACGAAAATCGTCCAAAAAAGCAACAATTTCATTATCGTGGATAAAGCGTACGATTTAAAAATCAACAGCAACAATAAAAATGAAGTACGCAGCGAGCACGAAACTTTCTTTTCGGAATAACCTGGTTTTATTTCAGCTAACACTTCAAACTTACATGAAAAAAAAACTTCCTTTACTAGCCTCGAACCATTTACATCATGAGTACTACTTTGTGCATCGTTTGGATTATTCCACAAGTGGCTTAATGTGCATACCAATACACAAAGAAGCATGTCAAGTGGCATCTAGAGCCATTCAAGAACGCCAGTGTAAAAAGTATTATGTGGCGCTAGTAAGGGGTTATCTATCTTCAAATTTACTTGACCTCAATTTCCCAATAGGTCTCTTTGTGGATAGCTGAGGCACCATTTGATATCTATTTTCTAGGAAGGGATGACAGCGTGACGGAAATTGAGAAAATGTGTGTACAGAACAATGGTAGAAGCGCTAGAACGCTTATTGTGACACTTGAAAGTGGACTGTTTGACTGTTATCCTACCACAAAAGTACTAGTGAGGCCTATTACTGGGCGCAGACATCAAATTAGGGTACATTGCTCAAATATAGGGCACACAATAGTAGGCGACTATACATATAGTAATAAAAAAGATGTAAAACCGGCGAGAATGTACCTACACGCATTGAGGTACTTTCCAAGTCTAAAATGAGTGTTGATGCTTATCCAGTTGTTTCAGATTGGTTATTCCTAATCAAATTGAAAATATAAACGTGCATACCTGCGATCCGTTTACTGAGAATGAAGTCCGTCTTTGGAACCCGCTTTTTCGACGTTATAGCGTCGCCGAAGGTTTAGAAAAAATCGACGCGTTTTTAAAGTAGACGTAAATATACTTTTAAACCATTGTTATTGTCTTATTTGAATTTGGTGTTGTTGGGGTTTTTGTCGGTGTGGGTTGGTATTGAGATTTCGCTCTCCTTGAAGTTGCATCTGGTACTTTCTGCCATCCGAGATGGAGAAAGACTAAAATTTATTATTAGGTTATTTGCTGCTGAATGTGTAAATAGTGAATAATGGCTACAAAGGGGCTGTATTACACCCCTCCGGGAACGGACGGGACAGATCATGCTTTTAGGCAACGCGTAGCACCCCAATATGCTTTAAGGTAAAAATATTCTAACCTAAAATTTAAGGCTACAAGTTCTATGCCAACATATTTGAGAGTGTGCCAAATTTTAAAATTGTTGAATAAATGCTAATGAGGATTGTTTTAGTGCTTTAAATAAATCGAGACTCAAATATTGTATATTTTTCCATTACCTGTTGTTTTTTGCAATGCTGGCAAAACTATCGGCTGATATTTTAGATAAATTAGATATTTTCATTTTAGAAATCGAAGAACTTAGCATTCCTCAGGTAAACGGTGTATTAGCAACTGCCGATTATACATAAAAACATTTGCAGCCTCTTTGGTGGGAATACATTTGGTGCATTAGTTTGTTACTCTCTTTCTTGGGTTTAACAGCAATCAAAGAAAACAGAGTTTCAATCATGAAACAATATGTGTCAGGGTTATGTCTTTTTGGATTCTTGCCATTATTCTATGCCATTATTTACTATTTTGGAGATGTATGGACGTATCTCACTTCAGACGATGAAGATGAACTGGAAGACATCCACATCTGGCAAGTAGGCGTGCTGACAACGTTCCAAACGCAGGCACAACGTTATGTTTTAGGGCTACCCATATGGATTGTTATGGTATGCATTTATTTTACTGGCCCTTCAAGTTCACACGTTTTCTGTTTACTTTGCCTGGAATCTGATTACTGCCTGGTCTAAGGGCGCGAAAAAATCCTAATCTCTGACAATCCCTTTGGTCAATTGTTTGATGCAAACAATACAATTGAAAAAGACAAAAATTTTCATCATTTTAAATTGATACAATACATTGTGTTCATGTTCTGTATTTACAGTGAAATCACTCTAAATGGAAAGTTTACATGTTATTTATTTGTAAAAGCTTGTTTATCTTTAGGGTAAAAGTGAAACTTTGTTGTCTAGTCAGTATTGACTTTTTTGTTTGATAAAAATTATATAATACGTTGTGCTTACATATTTTGTTATCACTTTGTTATCCCACTTTTTAGATATATATATATATATATATAATATGTATGTACGTACATGTATAGTAGACGATTTGTATATACACTGTCTGTCTTTTATAAAAATGTCTAACTTTGATAGCACCTTCTACAGATTTTGATTATATACAGTCTGTTTTTATATGAATATTCTATAAACGTAACGATGCAATAATAAGGGATAAGGTGTAGCTTATTTTTGAGATGATTTGGAGATTTCACTGTATTTTGTTCTGTACATTTCATTTTGGGGATAAGTATTTATGGAAAGGTGTGATTGTTGCAATATTTTCCTAATAATAAATATATTTTTAAATTAACTTGTTTTTTTCCTCGGGCTAACAAGACTTCAGATAACATTGATAGGTGACTGTCAATTTAAAGCCGACATATACTTGAGTAATCAACAAGTGGAGATATCGCTCTATTAGTACTTCCAATAACCCACCTAAAAGTAGAATGTAATAAATAATAAATATTGAACCTCCAATTTGAGCTGCCGAGATGTGTACACTCACATATTTATATAATTAATTCCGAACCTATATCTTTATTTGAGCGTCATTATCGAAGTTCTGTGAATATGTATAGGAAAACGATAACTGGGACCTATAATAATTACCTGACGAGATAAGATGGTTCTATTTATACCCTAATTACGTCGCATGCAAAAATCCAGTCAATGTCAATGCTCACCTTTGAACTTTTTCGCCAAATACCCCACTGTCAATGACCCCGCTTACGTTCCGGTTTAAACCGGCGAACTTGATTTTTGCACCTTTTTAAAAATTTATCAAGCGCTATCATCACCATAAATTATTGTTAAGACTACCAACAATTTCCGGCAACACCAGGACCTGGAAAATTTCGATCCCAAGGACGAAAATATTGATTCAAAAAATTCGACGCCTAAATCGCGTTTAACTCTCGCTAACGATTTCGTAACAAAAGAAAAAATTCCAGGTAATTAGCGCTTATACTATTAAGATGTAACTCAGAAACGCAAGAGGAATAACAATATTTGCGATAGTCGAGTATGTGATAATTCTTAAAAATAGTATAATTTTTATTTGCAATTTAATAACGTGTCATCCCACTTTATTATAATGGAACGAACATGTGATTATTTGCACATTATGTGCGAAGTGTGTCTGTGTATTAATTTACTAATAAAACTGCCTGACGCATTTTAAATTTGAGCATGGATTGTCCGAGTGACTAGAATTATGTAATTAAAAAAATGATAAAAAAGAGGGAACGTACGTAGTTGAATCAGCTTGAACCGCTGTAAAAATTACACGAAGGCATTATAGCTTTCTAAATTAATAATAATTGATCGTTCCTAGAAGAGGCTTTTTGGGTCCAGTTATTAAGAGCTGCGGGCAGTCCCGAATGACGTAATGAATTAGTAACGAAGCGCAGATAGTGATAAAACGCGTTGCTTAATTCAGTACTGAATTTACGAAACGAAATGTAAAAAACGATAAGAGCGTATTGTTTGGTGAAAGTCCCGGGGCAAAAGGGCTAAAATCGCGGTCATAGAAAGGAAAACAAATGAAATTGAGTGACGAAATGCGTAAGAGAGTTACGCAGAAATCCATCGCCGTTACATTTTATGGAATTTAGGAGTCGGCCGATAAACAGAATAATTAATGGTGATGCATGTGATGTTACTTTTAATTAAAGGCTATTTGCATTGCGAAAAGTGTCGGTGGTGCGGTGCGGCCGATAAACCGTGTAGATCGTGTGATAAATCTGTTTGTTTGAAAAGATCGCGATAATAGTGTTGTCGAATGTTCTAAGAATCGCACAAGGTAATATTAATGAGAGCATTGTGTAACGTAAAATAAATACTCCAATTGTGGCCTTCGTTCTATGTGCATAATCGGAATTCAGTTATCTGTTCAAAAACTCAATGACCAGCTGTTTGTGTTCGAAATAATTGTCCACTTACCGCCGCCCGCTTTGAGCGGAGCCATAAAATAACAGTGTATTTTTTGTGTGCGTTTTCAATAGGATTCAAGTCGGTTTGTGTTCTTACGATGATAAGTTTTTATCTGTAAATCATCAGCTGTTCGCGTACCGTTTCAGACTTTCAGGCACGTGTTCGTGCCTAACAGATCAGTCTAGTTGAACTTTTCTCCGGGACACTGTTAACAATAAACCGTAAAAATGTCCAACGAAAACAAACACGTGAACATCGACGTGCAAGAACCACTGCTCGAAAATTCCGGAAAAAAAACGCCACAGCCGCAAAGTGAAAATTCGCCAAAAATTGACGGCGAAACGAACAATTCACGCAAACAAAAACCACACGAAATGGAAAGAAAACGGACAAAAAGTACGTATTATCAGCTTTTATCGCTCTACAAACGTTGTATAAATCCTTTTCGCGATATATTCGCATTCGCCGTTTAAAATTTCTCAAAAACACCACGCGTACATCAAGTTCAATGTTATGCATAAATTAACCTACATTATCGATAAAGTCGCCTTTATCGATTGTCTGTATTTTCAGAAATCCTTTGACATCCCATAAATCGCTGATTACGAGCAAAATTAACGGAAAAAACGTTGCAGTAAATCATGCGAAATTCAATATACTCGCGCAAACCAGATTCAACCAGAAAAAAACACAAAAGTACGAAGTAATCAAACCCAAAGTGTAATTAATTCTATTTTTAACGTGTACGCTATACACCCCTTTGTAATTGTGTTGTGTGTCACAACGCAAGAACAAAGAACTGATTCACCAGTTTCGTACACACCATGATTGTCACGTCATCACCTCGCCGAGTTAAATTTGGCGCCAAATTCGTTATTGATTATTTAACAGCAAGATGTTTAGTTGCAAAATGTTCGCATTTCAACAATCTCGATGAGCTGATAAGCACGTAAGTTAATCGATGTTATCACAACTTTGAAAATCACTGCTAAAAAATCAAATTTCGAGTACTCGGTTATCGGGCCAAATAAAAATCCACCACTTTCCGTCACGTTTAAGATAATGACGATTAACAATGCAAAATAGGTGTGGCTATTATAGCCGAAGAGAATGAGAAAAAAATGGATAAGTGGAAGCTCGTTCCACCCGACGGTGGATGGGGTTGGTTAGTCCTCTTCGGCTCCACTCTAGTCAACGTCCTGGTGCCAGGTACAGTAAAATCATTCGGTGTTCTCTTCGTCGAATTCTTGGAGGCTTTCGAGGCTTCACCGGCAGCGGCGGCATGGATTCCGGCCCTCTGCTACTTCCTATACAGCTCTCTAGGTAGCCCCAAAACGCACACCTGCTTCACCACTAACCCAAATTTTTAAGGTCCCGTGTCCAGCCTCTTGTCCGTAAAGTATTCGTATCGAACGGTAACCCTAATCGGAGGAAGCTTCGCTGCGACAGGTATGATTTTAAGTTATTTCGCGGATTCGGTGGCATTTCTTTGTATAAGGTGAGTAGAATACTATTAGAAAATAATTTTTTTGACGTCGTGTTTCCAGCTATGGGGTCTTCGTCGGTACAGGTGCAGGTCTCTCTTTTCCTCCGACAGTGTACATCGTCACGAGCTACTTCTTGAGACTCCGCGGAGTAGCAAACGGGCTTTGCATTTCAGGCTCGGCTCTAGGCTCCATCATCCTACCGCCGATCCTTCGAGTCCTTCTCGAATTATACGGCTACAGGTAACACCTCACTTTTCCCATACACCAAATTACCTTTATTAACAACAGAGGCGCTGTATTACTCATGGGAGGTGTAACCCTAAACGTTTGGGTAGCCGCTTTGTTTTACGACCCAGTCGAAAAACACATGAAGAAAGTTCCAATCGAAACGCAAGAATCAGATTCCGAAGAACTAAGCCCTCTGAAGCCCAAATTCGTAATCAGTACAGAGGACAGCATGGCGTCGTTACCGCAAATCCCTCACAACGACTCCTTCTTGGAAAACTTGGACATCTCGTCGAACAACTTCAACAGGAGTGTTTCCAGTGCGGCGATGCAAAATTTCAAGACACCCACCAGTCGCGAAAGGAAGATCAGCATGCCCACTGGTCGTAACGAGCTCATCAAAGCCAAAGCCGGTGCCACAGGGTCACGTACTAACATGAATAGTTCATCAGCGCTACACGCGGTACCAGAGACTGGGAACGGTGCCATGGACTTGCAGTCCCAAGGGCGGCTGACGAGTTCAAGACGTCCGCGAGTTCCTCGCAGAAGCCCTTCTACGAGTTCCTTTCAGTATATAAGTACTCCGTATCACGGTAGCACTCTCACTCTGCAGCCCGAGACCTTCGCTAGTTCTTTCAGCTTAAGGTCCGCGCGCAAATCCGACGGGAAAGAACCCGAATCCAAGAAAAACAAATTCTTTGACATAACTCTCTTGAAGGATCCTCTCTATTTGGTCATCTTAATCTCGAACGCTACCAATGCCGTTAGCTACACGAATTTTATAATTCTTCTACCGTCTTTTGCACTTACTCTAGGTTATGACAAGAACGACGGGGCGTTGCTGCTTTCGATAGTGTCCGCTTTGGATCTCGTGGGAAGGATTGGCGGTTCGGCTTTGTCGGACTTGCAGCTGTGTCCGAAGGCTGCATATTTCATCGGCGGGCTCTTCGTATCGGGCATATCGCTCGCGGTCATGCCTTTTTTCACCGGATACGGCATGATCAGCGTGTGCTCTGCAATCTTTGGTTTAGCTTCTGGTATTTACGTGGGCGTTACTGCTGTGATAATGGCCGATATGCTGGGGGAGGAACGTTTACAGTCCACTTACGGTATATCGCTATTCGTTAACGGTATTTTACAATTAGTGGGGCCACCCATTTGTGGTATTTGGTTTGAAACGACTAAGTCCTACATTTCATTGTTTTGTACTTTAGGTGTCATTCTGGTCGTAGGTGCTGTTATTTGGGGTATCGTGCCCTTCATAAAAAAACCTCAAACCGAGGACAACGACGATGATGATTCGTCGTAATATTTTAGATAATTTCTTAATGTTCTAGTTTTTATTATTACACTTCTAAATGTGCAGTCCTTTTTTCTCGCATGTTAGGGAATTTTAGGAAATATTTAGTTCATGCGTATTTTGTACGTGAGTGTCGGCAAATCAAACAGGATCCGTTCTAACTGAGATTGCTAATTAAGCTCAAGTCATTTAAATGTATTATATTTGAGGTCTTCCTGACGCATTTTCTGACGCCCATGTTACAATCCATTATACCCCAGTAAATATTTATGTATTTATTAAGGAACATTAACAACTTTCCATATCAAAGAAGGTGCTGTCAAGTTTCGAGTATTTGTATTTTTATATCGTTATTTATATGAAAATATAAATTCAATTTACTTAATATAATAATTACATTGTGATATGAAAACATCTTAAGCGTTCTCTGTAGTTAAACGCATAATAAAATGTACACAATCAAAACCTACACCTGCACTATCTAAATCCTCACTTAACTAGCTGACGCGACACTGTCAAGGCCAAGAAATTTTGTCAAGATTTTCATTAATCCGAACTTAAGCGTTTTCAAAATAGAGTTAATATCACCTAGTTAATCCATTTATTATCGATAAACTTGCACTTGTATCACAACTCGTGCCGCCATTATCAAATTTCAAATTCTCGGCATGACATAAGCGCGTGCAACATAATCACGGTGAAAAATAAAAATCCCTAACATTTTTAGTCAACAATAACGAATCATTATTAAATTAACAAACAACTTTTACAACATCAATAATAAATCAACCTTGTGAAAATTATTTTGTTTTGAAGTAAAAAATTTCGTGTGGGGGAGTTGGCGGCAGTTGTTCTTTGACATTGACAGACGTTAATTAACGTCACAAAGCTAAACAAATTAATTTTTTCATTATATAAATACAGATTAATTTATTCGAGTTTTAATTTCAAAAACGGAAATGTATGTATTCAGTCACCATAAACATATGTAACCTTCAAAATAATGATTGCCAAAAATTGTCCAAAATGTGATCAGCAGGTAAAAACTATGAGCACCGTTTTCCGCTATTATTGAAATTTTATTAGGTACCGGTTGCATGTAAAGCTTGTCCATGTGGCCACTCATTTTTTAATTCGAGGAGAACAACGCGTGTGTTATCTCCAGGAGCAGACATACGAAGGCGCACCCAAAGAGTTCGCAGAGAAAAACCAAATTATTATGACGCCTTAGAGTACGACAAACAAATACGAAAGGTAAACGCAATTTTTAACGTTCTGTGCTCACACTATGGTTGTAGATAAAAACGCGGAATAGCGAATGTGAAAACGATGACGACGCCAGTAAAAAAGATCCAAATAAAATAAAACGAAAAAAAGTAAAAAAGGAAGACGACGAGGATGATGACGTTATCACTAATCTCTCGTCAGAAAAGCAAGTACAATGTTCGATTATCTTGGAAGAGTTGAATAGGAAGATGCAGTTAGTTACCTGGAAACCAACGTGAAGCAACATCACAATTGTTTATTTTCGACTGAGCCACATATTAGAGTAATTTACAATAATATACTGTATATAGAATGACTACTGTGTGTTTATTTTCTATATGTCTATTTTCGTCCCCTTCCAGTGAAATGCGGCAGCCACGTCTTCAGTTTTGTTAAAATTACTTTCCCGGTTTTTCCCCTTTTTCAGTCACTATCAAATTCCTCATCTATATCCTGTTTGATTACTACTGCGGGGTTTAAGTCTAATTTGGGTAAACCTGCTTGGTGTTTTTCATCAGGTACTTCGTGCGGTTTTCCCTCAAAGACAGAATCCGGACTCGTTTCTGGTTTCTCCGTTTTTTCTAAAGTTTTAGACAGTGTGGTTAAATTCATCCATTCGACGTCAGTTTGCATTATTTCTTTATTGATAGAATTACAAACTTTGGTTAAGTTTTTTCTCAGTACTAACAGTTTTATGTATTCACTGCGTGTTTGCTTCGGCCCTAGAAAATAACTCATGTTGTGTTATTAATTAACAAAGCTTAACCGTATCAAAAAAACAATTTAAAATTCATAAACCAGCAAGTCCAACAACAAACAACAATCGTGAACGTAGCTGAACAGTATAAACAACATTGAGGATAAATAAAATAATAAAATTTGACAAAATGCATGCTTTATTGTTTTCATATTTCAAGTAGGAGACTTTAGTATGTATTAAATCTGACTTAAAACATATTCAGTTGCTAAATATAACGAATTTTGAACTATTTTTTGCTGTATTTGTCAATCATTTACATTTTACGGTGTTGGCTACTTTGTATAGCAACACCCGTCAAAAGTGACATAAATGACATTTCATTTATAATTTATTACCGTGATGATTCTAACCTCCTAACTTACAAAAATTCATCGAATTTTGGGAGTGCTTTAATATGTTTTAATTTACCTTGATTCAGTAAGCAGTGGCACGAATTTCCTCCTCTTGTTACTAATGTAAATTTTCCAGATTTTCATCATTATGGCATGTTTCTGGTTTAATCAAAATGACACCCGAATTGAAATTCCGAGTGCAGAGGAAGTTAACAATGTTACCTATTATAAAATTATCGTCACTGTGGGAGAGATTAAGTGGCATGTCCTGCATCGTTACAGCGAATTTTTTGACCTGCACAATCAACTAGTTACCGATCATGGAGTGTCAAAAGATATTTTACCCTCAAAGAAAGTTATCAGAAACAAATGCCCTATTTTTATTGAGAGTCGACGTAAAGGTCTCGAGGAGTATTGTCAAAAAATTTTGAATTATTTAAAAAGGACCATGCCTAGAATATTTATTGAATTTTTTCATTTTCACATTTATGATATATTTTTTCTTTTACAAAATTTAGCATTGAGATTCTTTCTAGAAGCGGATCTTTTGCTATCATCAAGTAAGAGTTACGCTTTGACCCCGTTGGAAGTAAGAAGGTAACAATTAATTGCAGTTCAAACAGGAATTTGTTGTAGTTACATGCAGCAAGTGAGTGTTTAAAAAAGCCATTTCCTGCTGTTGAAAATACGGATAGTAGATATGATTTCACCCATGTGTTGGATTTGTACTCCCAGTTGAAGATTTTAACGATAAACGGAAGCGGCAGCCCATATCGGAATAGTAGCGTTATTCCAAATCAGTTACCATTTGATTTAGCGTCATTTAAGGTAAATTAATGATAATGTCAATATTTCTAGTGAGTTATTTTTTCAGGAATTGACTTCTCTGGTATTAATCAAAGTCTCCCTGGACAAGATTTTGTCTCTAGGGAATTTAAGGACCACATTACAAAAACTCTATGTACATAACACAAACATGAGTAGTATTAGCCAAATTTTGCAATGTGATGTCTTACACAAATGCAGTATAGATTCTAGTCAAGTAGTATAAAAATCCGTTTCTTTTGTAATAGAAATATTCATATTTTTATTTTTTAGATTTGGACCAATGTTACTGTAGTCAATTTCACCAACAATAATTTAATTGAAATCGACAAAACAATAAGTCTGGTGCCTAACTTGAAAACTTTAATACTTGACTCTAACAAAATTTCGTGTATATCAGGTCTAGCGGAATTATCAAATCTATCACACTTGAGTCTATCTAATAACTTAATATCAATGTGTAACCAATTGCACACGAAAATTGGTAACATTCTAACCTTGAACTTGTCACAAAACAGTATTTCTTCTCTTAAAGGTTTTAGAAAATTGTATTCCTTAGTTAATTTAGATTTAAGTTGTAACAAAATTGATGAAATTGAAGAAATCACACACCTGGGAGATCTACCTTGTTTAGAAAATTTGGTCCTGACTGGTAACTGCTTGGCAACGACCGTTGACTACAGAATTAAGGTCCTTGAACATTTTAAAGATAGAGCTAAAGATATATGTCTTGACAATGAAAAACCCACTCAAAACGAGATCGATAAAGTTTCCGTTTTGAGAGCTTTGAGAATTGTTAAAGAAGGCAAAGCTCCAGATCTGACAAACAACGCATATACCTGAGATAAGATATAGGTGTTTCTGTGTATTTATCGTTCCATTATTTTGATTGTATTATTGATTAATGATGTGATTAATAGAGATTATATATTACTCATATGTGATATTATTTTCAAGTTTTACCGTTTGAGAAGAACTTAATTTAATCTAGGCATATAATTTTAAAGTTCGATTTAAGTACCAGAAGTTTTACCGAAAAGGGTACACCTCGCAATAGAAACATGACAAGTTTTACAAATTCAGGAACAGAGTTGGAACTACAAGAAGACTATGCCAATTTATAACGACCTTAAGATTCATCGTTTTATTTATTTATATAAATGTATTAAATGTTTATAAACAATGATATGAATTGATTGACGATTATTCTTTAATTCTCAACCGTTGAACTGTAACCTAATTCTAAAAAAAAACTTACCGTAGTGTATTGTGTGTTGCCTAGTTTTACTTTTGTGATAACCATAGAGGTGATATCGGTAGTCATATTACCTCCATGCTTGTAACAGTAATCTCTGTGAATTTGTTTGTTTTCGACGTTCCAATAAAAACTTAGCCTCTCTTTTATAAATTGTGAATTAAAAGAAATCAACTGGAATTTCTACCCCAGACAATAAAGTTAATTTCAAATTTTCCGCCCCTCTTCATTCTCAGTTGCACCAATCAACTTCGTACGATTGGCACTACGGTTGGTATACCTGGTGCCGCCATTTGTCCGCGACGATTGCAACCGACGCGCAGATTCAGTCGAAGTCCTAGAAAACAAAATTTTGTTTTCTCTTTTGCTTTGTGTAGAATACGTGTTTTGTTAGTGAAAGAAAACGCAATGGCGAATCCGAAGCCTGAACCTGTAGCGGCGAAAGAGGAAAATGACGCTGATGCCCAACACGAACAGCCGGATAATCAACAGACCGGTCAACAAAACTTCGGTGGTCCCAAGCGTGGGGGCCACAACAACAGGTTCGGAAATCGGCGCCCTGGACCATACGTAAGTTTATTGAACTTAATAGGGTTATTTATGGTTTGTCGTAAAATACGGATTAAAACAAGATGGCCGTATGCGAAATTAAGAATGGCGAATTGAGATCATGGCCCTCTTGTGAATGATGAATGTTTTTGGTCAAAGGAGGGCTTTAATTAATTCATTAGAGAATTTAATTCAATTTGGTGCGGCTAATTCGCTGGAAACGAAGTTTGTGGTCACGTGGACATGGGCGGCTCGTCGGGGTTGGCGGCGGTTACAGTGGCCATAAAACCAAAATTTTATTTGGCGGATTTTGTGTGCTCGTTTTGTATGGACTCGCCTACTATGTTCGATTTATTAATAATTTACAGAGCGTATTTAATATTTACCAAGATAGGGTATCTTTAATAGAGGATTTTTAAAAACTGTTAAAATATTTAAATCAATCAATAGGTTGCTGTTGAATCTGTTTTAAGTAGGATTTATTTACCCCACGAACGTGTAGATCGTGATTGTGTTGTTTGATTTATGCTAAAATATTATCAGATGTCAGGAGAGATTATCAACCTACCTCACGCTATTTTTGTATAACAATAAAATTTTACAACCCACGAAGGTAAAAAGGTTCGTAAAACTTTTAAGTACATAACAGTTGGTTACCAAAGAGAACTTCATCCTATAGTGACTTTAACTGAGGTGTGAGAATTTCGTTTACAGTAACAGAATGTTGGCTTGTTTGTATTTGTATGCAGATATGTAGTTGACCTCCCAACATGATTTAATTATTTGATGAACAACGGTTTTCCTGAATACAAGACTCAGATTCCGTAGATTTCTATAGTATGTATGTATATTCGGGAGGGTCTTTACTATGGAATTAGTCTGAGCATTATTACTATTGAAACAAATTGAGTCTTAAATATGTTTATAATATGGCATTTTAATTGACTTGCAGCCTCAGCGCGGCGGCGGTCACGGCGGGGACAATTTCGGTAGACGCAGGGGTGGTGGTGCTGGCCCTCATGGCGGTCCAGGTCCTCATGGAGGTCACGGCGGCCATGGCGGTCCAAATCATAACGATCAGGGACCCATGGGACCACGTGGACCCATTGATAAAATCAATGATAAGCTTTCCAATATGGGTGGACCAACATTTGACTTACCTCCGCTAGAACAATCCGAGAAGAAATTTTCCGGGCGAACGCGTTTGTACGTCGGGAATATAGGAAATGAAGTAGATGAAAGCGAACTGAAAGAATTGTTTAGTCCGTATGGCGAGACAAGTGAATACTTCATCAACAAAGAAAAGAATTTTGCATTTGTTAGGGTGGTAAGTGTCGCTTGAAAGAAAAATTCAGTCGTTTGTATTGTGTTTGTTGTGTGTAGGATTATCGTATCAATGCCGAAAAGGCTAAAAGGGAACTGGATGGGATCCTCTTCAAAGGGAAAAATTTGAAAATCCGCTTTGCTCCAAATGGATCCACCATCAAAGTGAAGAATTTGACGAATTTCGTTTCAAATGAGTTGCTGTATTACGCTTTCTCTGTTTTTGGAGAGGTAATTAGGAAGTTCGAGTGGTTTTTGGAAATGAGTTTGTTGTTTAATAGGTGGAACGCTCATACGTCGTCGTCGACGAGCGTGGAAAACCTACTGGTGAAGGCGTCGTTGAATTCGCCCGCAAAGGGTGCGCTCTGCACGCAGTGCGCAAGTGTTCAGAAGGATGCTTCTTCTTGACCTCTTCACTTCGTCCCTGTATTGTCGAGAGTTATGAACCAAGTGACGATACAGACGGTTACCCGGAGAAGTATCTCCCTAAAAAGAATCCCGAATACTCCAAACACCGCGAAGTAATTTCGTCACTCACAATTTGCGGACTTCCCTCACCTCGCACTGTTTTAGGTCGGTCCTCGCTTCGCTGGTGTTAGTAGCTTCGAGCACGAGTATGGAATGCGTTGGAAGCAACTCCACGAGCTCTACGCTCAGAAAGAACAAGCCATGAAGAAAGAGTACGAGATGGAGAAAGAGAAATTGGAAGCTCAGATGGAGTTCGCGCGGTATGAACACGAAACTGAGATGTTACGTGACCAATTGCGTGCTCGCGAGATGGATAGAGACCGCCAAAAGCACGAATGGGAGATGAAGGAAAGAATGGCTGAAGAGCAGCGTCAGAGGAACGAAGAACAGATGCGTAGGCAGCAGGAGGAGATGCAGAATCGCATAATTCACCAAGAAGAGGAGTTGCGCAGACGCCAACAAGAGAATAACTTGTTCATGCAAGCCCATCAATTGGACAACATGCTTGAACAACAAGAGCAAGCTTATGACCAGCCTGCTGGAATGTACAACAACAGTAAGTTTGTTTTTGAATTCGTGACGATTTTAATTGATTGTTGATGTTTGTTGCAGTGAATCAAGATGGCGACGCTCCAGTTGTGGTAAGCATTAAACTGAATTTCTTTTTGTTAATGTTTTGGTTGGCTTTTATTATGAGTAATATCACAGCAAGTCAATTTTTTATGAAGAGAAATTTTTTGTTCTGTTCAAAATGTAGTTATATGGTTTTAGATTTATATTGACTTTTGTACACTCTGGGATTTTTCTCATTCTTCAAATGAATAATTGGGAAAAATTGCTCGGGTGGGTTTCGTTTGGCAGTTGATGGTAAAATTGTACGTGGCTACAATTTCTGAAGGTTGTTGTAAGTATGCGGATGCTTACTTTTTTTATGAAAAAACTGTTTGCTGTTGCGGTGAAATTCGATGTTGACTTTTGATAGAGTTATGACGTTACAAAAATTGTTACTTGTTTGATTAATTTTGTGTTCTTTTTTTTTGAAATAAACAGAAAAACGACATATATGAAGCTGTTTCTATTCTTATGGAATTATATTGCGCTTCGTGTCTAGTAATTTTGCTAATGTATTAGATAATTGTAAACGTATTTTTTTATTTTTTGGATTTTACCGTGTTTCAAATTCTGTATCAATATTTTCGAGTATAGACAGTCGTTAAATATGGGACAAACCCATTTTCTGTCTAATTTGATTTTCTTATACTTTTTTTACGTAAACAAACCGTAGTTGCTTTCGTTGTGTACCTGATTTTAGTGTAAATCAATTCACGAAATTGTTTTGAGATTTGTTCTCGCTTGATTTGACGTTAAAATGATCAGCAAAATGCAATTAAGCAATTTTTTGACAATGCGACAGCAACTACTGGATATTTGTAATAGACCAAAATTTAAACAATCAAGATATATTTGAACAAGAAGAAATGACAAGTTCCTGTTTTGAAGGTTAGTGCATATTAAATTTATTATTTTATATAAGACATTATCTTACTCAGCTTGATCGTTTGATGATGATAATAATAAAACAATCGTAATATGTCGTGCTTCTTCGGCGTTACCATGTCTTATTATTTATTTTGTCGTTTTCTTCAGTGAAAGTACGGTGTTAAATTGAAAACAAAGCATTTCTTTTCTTTTTTCTTTTTGTATTAACAAGGTCTCAATAAAGGTCTATATTGTCGTTACAATTAAAGGAAATTTTGAATTGAGATTTTAACATTTCATAATTGTTGGCTGAACAAACCCGATTATTTTTGGTTTCTATTATGTGGTTTTTAACTTCTGTCAGAATCATTTGATGTTTTCCTATTTACTATTTTTAAATCTGGAATATAAAGTTATGGTCCATTTCAGTTTTACACCAGCAAACTTTGGTACTAATTAAATTAAAACTTAATGAACAACAAATCTAGTGTTATTATTGGTTCGATAACACATGTTGTAGTCTCAATTAAGCTTCCGAGTGTAGTGTGTAATACAGTTGTTGCATCAATATGCACAAGAAGGCTAGAATAATGTGTACAATCATGTTTAAAGTTGGCAGGAAGTCGCATTCATTTGAAATGGACTATAACTAATTTTTCCTATTATTCTATATTAGTGTTTAACTTTAAATCGGAATTTGAGATCTTTTTAGCTATATAACGTACGTCCGTGTTTCAGTATAACCATACTGTTGGTGGAATTATAGACTCCTTCTTCAGACATTTATTCTTGTATCTAGAAAAGGAAGATAATGTTCATTTTTCGAGTCTTAATTACCAATAGTTAGTATTCAGCATAATTTGATGATATTCTGCGTATCGTCATCATTTTTCTAGCTGTGAACACTAAATCAAAAAGTGTTCAGTTGTAGATAATGACGCAAAAGACGTTTATTGTTGTATGAAATATGTTGAATTCCATACAAACTGAGTTGTATGTTATCGTTATCGTGTATGTTGCTCATTGCAAAGTTTGTGAATACGTCAATGAGTTATAAATCGAAAATACACAAACAGAAGGAAAGTTTCCATACGTTTTGCGTTCTAGCTGCACTAGGTAATATTTCGTATGCTTGAAATATCTGCACTACAGGTTGTGCTCTGCAGATACACCTTTGACTTTTATTCTGATACAATTGTTTTACTTCCATTATAAATTTTGAGCTGCACTTGAGCTAATGTAAATCTGTACGTGTAGCTATGTCTTGAACAGAAAAATTTTTATTCTAATATTGTCGCATTGATTGTATTACTATATATTTTATTAGAAGAACTACTTCTCTTTATTTTTATTTACATCTGTTTTAATCTGACCTAAATTGTTGTGTTCATTGAAACAAGTGTGGGCCGCTGTGTTTGGCTTATCGGGATATGTTTAATTTATTGTTGATCTGATTATCTTTTATAAATATTGTGATGCAACTCAACTTGATACCACTTATTAGAACTGCATTGCTTGCGTCGATATTCTTGCTGCGTGGGTCAGCACTAACACTTATTTTGTAACATCTGATTAAATAATTATAGAAACTAAAATAGTGAAAAATTTATTCAATAACAATGGATTATAAAAGGCATATATGTGGATATTTACTTTTTTCTGTTTTTATTTTTGTTATTGAAACTAAGCTCGGAATACGTTCGACAGTTTTTCTCCAAAAACAAGCTTCTCAATGTTCATCCATGCCCCATGGACACTGGTTACTCAATTCCCGACTTCTGGTTGTTTTGGTCTAGGTTTTTGGATGTGCTTCAGTTAGTTTTGAATGTTTTTCAGGTATGCAGCGTTTCTCATCTTCGGACTATTCACATTCACACAGGTCATAATATAAATTTTTTGAGATATTCTCAACGGTTTTTGAATTAGAAAATGGACTTTTTCAGTGTGAGGTCGTTTCACGAACTGGTCCAACTTACGTACAAATTTTTAATCGTGGATATTCTTGTCTCTCTATATGAAAATAATAGTGGATATTAAAAATTTCACGTTTGAAGTTGGCTATGTATTTTCAAATGTTGTTTGTGTTGCGGTTTTATTTTTATAACTGTGAAATATCTAGTCAAAGCCGGCTTCAAATGGATTTGTTAATAAATACATTAGTATTTGTGTCTATAATATTAGGCTACAACATTATAAAGACTTCCGAATCAGATCAATGATAAATTATTCATTTGAGTCAAAAACTGTAATAAAAAATGTCGAAGTAGTCTTCTAATTAATGAATATGATCGTATGTATGCGTTGCTTTATTGTTCTATCTGTAATATTATATTATATTAGGAACCAAAAGCTTTCATGAATTCTTACAAGCGCAACAACCACCGTTTCGAGGGACGTGGTGACATGGGCCCAACAGGGCCTCGTAATGGTGGCGGTGGTGGTAGAGGCCACTGGGTCAGCAACGATAATCGCCGTGACGATTTTCCACCTAAAAGGCGACGTTACTAGTTCACTTCACCATTCTCAAGAATTTTTTCTTCAAAACAATGAATCGATGACATAATTGTCATTCAGCAAATTTAAGTCGTTTCAAGTTTTCCTATGTTTATCAATATGACAATGTATGTGCGAATTTATGTTCAGTTGTGTTTTTCTCCGCACACTAAAGTCTAGTTTCACATACTCGTTTTCGTCCTCATCAAAAAATTCGGTTCATCTTACGAATAGATGGGTAAGTAGTGGAAGTTTTCGTTTTCGTTCGTTTTTATGCTCACGCGTTCCGTGTAGTTAATCGCTCGACGAAAAATGCCAGAAAATGTCAGAGCGGACACAAAATGCTTGCTGCAAGCTTGTTGTCGAAGCGCGTAAGGATTTTTTGTTTGGTTTGGTGTTTTTGGGGTGTTTTTCGCCGCAAGAATGTTTTCTGCTTTGAAAACGACACTCGTTATTCATCTATTTTTTGTATGGGCGGGGATGGACGGGATTTTTTGTGTTGAGCGATTTTTAATATAAGACTTCAAACGTAGGTTTTGAGTAATTTGTCAGTTTTAATATGTAGAATTAAAGCAAATTTAAAATAATGTGTTTTAAGTATGTCCTAATATATACCCAAAAACTCTATGTTTAGTCGCCGCCATTTTGAATGACTAACTTAAACAGAACCTGCATTTTGTCTTACTAGTAAACAGTGTTTAAGTTACGTCATTCTTAAGCTATATCTTAAGAAAACTTAGTCTCGCGTTATTTACCGAAGTTAGTACATTTTGTATAATAGTTAAAACTGCGGGGTTACAAGCTTCTAAGTGCATGCAATATTTAGTTGTAATGTGTTGCAGTGTACTAAATCTTAAATTCAAATTCAGTAACATCGATCAGTTTATCATGAGTCATGCAGAATAATTAACAGTCAAGTTTCGTGTTTATATCTATTTAGTAATGATGTACAAATCCATAAAAAGACATAATATACATTGTAAAAAAAGTTACTGTGTGATTTATAAAACCGTATCTGTCGCATTTTCTCGATATTAAAGCGTGCACTTAAATGACCACTTTTAAAACAACAAGTTTTAGCATTTAATCAAAATTGAATGTCGCTAATTCCATATTAAAAATTATTTCTGTGAAATTTCGACGAGCCAAGTGTTTATTGAGAAATTCCCATTTAAACTTTGCGTATCCTGCAAAGTGCTTTTCCAAATTAAAATTCAAGTGATCGTTGACTTTTCGCCGAACTCGTGGCTGAAATAATCAAAAGTATTACACGCTGTGAAGTTTTTTAATATCGGTCGTTCTGAACAATTTTTTTGTCAAACTTCCAGGCGATGGATGATTTCATAAATTCTGGAAATTATACACTTCTGGACCTTGTTTCAGTTTCCAATTGAAATCGTTAAATATATTTTCTAAGTTTGTTTTTTGATTTTTTTGACCTTTTTGTTTGTAAATAGATTAAAACAATGGTGTACAACTTCGTTGAAATAAAAAAAAAAATGGTTTCCAATTGTCTCCACTCTTCGTAAACGTAATGTGCGCAATTAATGTCTAATAAAGCTGTGTACAGACCACATTATCAACGGTTATAGTTACTGTGGGTCAGCGGCACTAAATTGAAAAAAAATTCTAAAATTTTCGTAATTATTAATTAACCAATCGATTTGAATTGTTGATAACGGAAAAATATGTTGGCAAAAACATGTTGATTGCATTTTTCCATTGGTCATGGGCATTGCGATACCCGGCCAATTTTCCAAGGTACCCTAATTATCCATAACATTAAATATTATGTTAAAACGGACAAAGTCGATACAATTGGCTTCGTCGGTTGCGGTCGCAGTAAAAGCGCGTGAACAACGAACATAGGGTTCCTATTGATTAGATTAAACATTGCCAAAGTTACAATAAAAAACGCGCAGCCGACAAAGTCACTTAAATGGACACGAGTAAAAATATAATTAATTTCGTTAGTAATTAGTTTAATTGGCTATAGTGTCATCATTCAAACAATTATATTGATATTTTTCTGCTTCTAATGAGAAAAATTTTGAGTTTTCGTAAGATTTGGTCAGGTTCGCGTGATTGTATTGCCATGAGGAATATTTTAAGCAGAATGGACATTAACGTCAGTCGTTTCTTCATTATTGCATTCATCTTCATATCCGCATCATGACTGAAGTACACCCGAAGAATCATCATTTAATAAATTATATGTACACTCCCCAATTCCGATAGTTTGAATGGTGTCCCAACTAACATTGTAGCCCATTTTATTTTATTCCTTTTTTTGTGGTTTCGGTTAATTTAGTATCATTTGTTTCTTTTAACGTTTCTCACTTTTAACATACATTTCTGGTACCCTGCATGAAATATTCTAATTTTCTTTTTTTTTAAATAGATTTAGTACCTAATATCAATCCTTTTTATTTAATTTCTAACAATTAACTAATGGATCAAGAAAATTATTATCAAATTCTACAGCAAAAGGTAAGATACTGACATTTTTTAACAACGCCTTAACGTATATTCTTTCGATTTCGAAGAACAAGGAAAGTTCGAACAAAACTGCTATTAATGGTTACATCACTAAAACATTTGAATTTGTTCAAAGGTGAAGGTTAAACTTGAATCCGTTTACTAACATTGCATCAAAACGACATCTTTCTTTCATTATTCCTTTTTTAACATCTTCCGCTTCTAATACCGAACCTACAAATGTTTTAGTGATTTTATCACATCGCATAAATATAAAGTCTGAGTAAGTTGTGTAAAGCAAATTGTATAACTAGTTCGTTCACTTATTTTGAAATGATATAAAATAGAGCACATCGTATTTATTTGTGTTTTTTTTTTTAATAGATTTGCGTGTCCAACAGTTGTTGTTTTCTGTTTTAAAATGTGATGCGTTCTTCTGTTTCAGTATCATTGTTGTAACGAATACGAAGTCTCCGACGACTCGAACAAAAATACGTGGCCGTGTTTTATGTATATGATAGATCATTCGAACCCGTATTTGCTCGATTTCGACGATTTTATGCAATCGCTTCAAAAATTTGCGCGATCGGACAATTTTTTGTACGATGTTTTCGTACGAAATTTTAAAAGAATTTTCTAACTGTTTTTCAATCAATAAATTACACGAATTGTTTGTTTTGTTTTGTAGCTTTCGTGGAAAATAAAGTTTGCGTTTTTGGAAAGATGTTTTCATTTTTGTACGTGGAGAAAATACAGTCGGTTGGGTTTCGCTGCCGGTGTATTAGTGGCATGGATTAAGCGACTTAAAAAAGAATAAAGAACGTGACTTTCCTCTGGTTTTTTTAATGTATAAATAAAATCGAAAGCCGTTTCTCGCTCAAGTTTTTTGTATCTGGAAATTCGGGGCAAAATCTCATTTTATGAGGATTACTTGGCTTCTTTCCGGCTATTTGTGGACTAATACTTGAATGAATTACACCAGTTGGAAGATCCTATCTATATCCATTTCTTCTTGTGGCTTTATATAAATTGTAATTCTTATTCCAATCACATTTCCTCAACTGGATGTTCCACTAAATAAATTGCGACACGAATTCTCCAATTTATGTGACTACTTACAAGAGGATTTCGTTGTATCGAAACAATCTCGTATGGTTTTGGTTTTTCCACACAAAAAAAAAAAATAAGATCTCGGCTCGTTGAGCTAATTTTAGGTCCCAAATGAACATTGAAACATGAAGACCGTGCCCTAATTATAAATGTCGACAGCCTCGGGGAAAGAAGATTTTTTAATTCCTTGAACAAACATTTACCTTAAAAAGTCCTGTAATTGATCGAGGACAGGAGTAAGTTTCGCTGTATTTTAAAATAGCCAGAAGTACGTGAACGTTTCGGAAACTTTATTTATAATGACCAGGTTTGTATTTTTTTGTTCAATTTTTAACTAAGTTATATGTAGAAATTTTATTTAGATATGACACTGTACGCAGAATTTGGTTGAAAGTTCGCATTTAATTATATATTGTCTCTTGTCTTCCTCCAAACACCGGTTCTCTAACATAACCTCTAAGAATATAGACAAGTTGAACGAGACCCAGAACTACGTGGATCCAAATTTACAATTTATTATTAAATGTATTCATGTCACGTACTGCTGGGTCGTCGCTACCAACTCAACTTCACAGAATTACGAGTCCGTTGATTTCGTATAGTTTGATAAAATTATTATTTATGTGATACGACGGTCGTTTAAACCCGTAGAAATAAATCGTGACAACTTAGCACAAATCGGCATTCTTTTATAATATTTTGATTAGCACCAATTGCTTAAATTTATAGTCAAACTTTGATTGTATGTCACATAATGTATTTATCATCGATATCTGCGTAGGATATAGTGGTTACTATAAAACTAGGACAATATATTTTATTCACTCGTTATTTATACTAATGTCTGTAGATGTTGGAATCAACCGTACAAAACTGAAGTATTCCTAAGTTTTCTCATATATATTTTAATGGAAATTTCCATAATATATACATTATCGCTTTTGAAATGGTAATTTCCATGAATTTTTTTCCTCGAAAATAAGTATCTTGAAGGGTATAAGCTGTTTAGAAACACATTTTTATAAGAGGGTTTATTTAAAAAATATAGACTACACCATTGTGATCTTTATGTGGTGATTTACTAAGACTTCTTATATACATTAGTAACACCAATGCTCATTGTGAAATCCTACTGTTATATCAGGCAATTTGTCATAAGTCATATAAAATACGAAAAAACGTCATTTCCTTCATTGGGTAAAGAGTTTTTCAACATGGAAGTGTCTCCAACCCCACGAATAATTCAACTGGTGAAACGTGTGTTAAATTATGAAAATTATTTTTTAATATAGTGTTTTTTAAATGACATTGAATACGTGAGTAAGATTTGGGGATGTTTGTTTTGAGTTTCTGCCATTACTGTTTATATTTTAAAAACGTACCGACATAATATGTCTCGTATTTCTCTGGTATCCTACATACAATCCGTAAATCTGATCCGTTGGGCCTTTGGGCATTTAAACTCGAAGCTTAACCGTTTGTACATGTTTGTGGAATGAAGGAAATGACGTCAGACGCTATATTATTTTATCGTTTTACAGCACCGCCAATGTTTTAAGATTGGTTTTAACTTTTCTGTTTCGTGTAATCAAAATTTTGATTGCTCCGGTGACTTAAAATAGTTTATAGAGAAGTCATAACGAGTGAATAGATCGTTTCACTTAAACTACATATATATAGTTCTTTTTCAAGGTATTGATTTGTATTTCATTCTTTTCTGAGATAACTTAAGCTAGTTTTAAAAATGACCAATTGGGATATCATCTAAATTTGATGTTTACATTTTCAACCAAAAGTATTTGATACTTTTTGTTTGTTCTTTTTTTTTGTATTCAATGTTGTTTAAAAAATGTACTAACTGTTGTTTGATGTTCACAGGTTTTGAAAATTTCTCATCCACAACGATGTGGACGGAAGGGTTGAAGAAAAACCGGATTTTCTAACGAAGCTGTGATTTTACTACTGTGATAATTTTGAAACGAAGTACCTGATGTTTGGAATTTATTTTATTTATTCAAATAAAAGTTTATGTACGTAATTGTGTGTTCCTTGATCCTTAACCCCCAACTGACCTTAGAGCGATTAAAATAAGCAAAACGAAGAACTAACCTCGAAAGGTAAGTGTAAGACAACGAAAAGCGATCAATTCTCAGCTAAATTGTAAAATTTTTGTACGCGATTTTGAATTTTTTCCAAAAAATCGTCAGTTTTTTTAAAGATTTATTAATTTCACAACAATCGGTAGGAGATTATGTGTCAAATATAATCCCCAACAGATGACAGAGATAAACAGATGTACTTTTTTATATTCTCGGAGCTATGAAACGTCCAAAAGGTGAAATTTGTCGTAAGAAAATAAAAATTGGTGACGTCATTTTACTTAAAAAGAAATTAAATATGTAAATGTAACTTCAGGACAAGTATGTGTTCTTTATTAGACAATTTAATGTTGCGTGACTAGTATGTAATAACCTGAAACAAAAATATTAAGTTATTTATGTATTTTTTTGATCATCACGAAATCTTGATGTATAATACATCACAGACACTGGCGAGGAGTTTTTTCAAATAGCACTTAAATAAAAGATGACCGAAATGATTGAAAAAAGCCAGTATGACAAAGTTACGTAACAAAAGTAGCGTTAAGAAGAGGCACAGTATTGTTTCTAAAAATAAAAAGTAGGAGTTTTGTTCCGTCTTCGTGTCTATAATAGTTATCTGTAGATAAAAAAGTGAAAGTTGCCTCGCCAAACAGCAATTTTGTAGATCGTAAAACGAATGAGCATCGACATGACATGGGTAGGGCATATAATATGAGAGTATGACTGTAATTACGTACTCCTCAATCCCACCCAAATCAACGTAATGACCTTGGAGTACCTCTAAAAACAACAATACACCAATTACCCTATTCCCCAGCAAATCCCCGTTCCCCACGGTGTAAAAAAAGCGAAAAAACCCATCGAGGGCAAACTTTGAAAGCAATTTATTTTGAACGGCAATAAAAATAACGCGTAGGCGCATGCGTGTTCGCAATTAGCTTCTCGTGTGCTCATGCGTATTATTGACGAATTTTCATGAAAAGTGTTGTCTATTTTAGCGAGTAATCTAGTATTAAAAATTGATCTGTTAGTTTGATTTCACGTTCGCGATTGCAGGCCACGAAAAAATGCCCGTTAGAAAGGCCATACATGCCGGTAGCTGGTACACGGATTCTGGTAAGTGTTGTCAAACATTGATCAGCTGTTTGTAGCTTATTGTTCACTTGGACATCGTGCCAATGACCTCTGTTTTGCTCAGGCCCCGAGCTGTCGAGACAACTGGAATACTGGCTCCACCAAGCTGACTTGATTCACGGGCCTGCTAGGGCCATCATCGCTCCGTGAGTTCTTCCCGACTCGAGTTAAAAATTATTTTCAACTTGTGTTTTAGACATGCTGGCTACCAGTACTGCGGGGCCTGCGGGGGGCACGCTTATAGGCAAGTGAGTCCTGTCGTGGTAAGGCGAATATTTATTTTAGGACCTTCTCACCATGTCCGTTTATCAGGATGTGCCTTGTCTACTGCAAGAAAATACAAAACTCCTCTTTACGACTTACATGTAGATTCACAAGGTAATAGAAACTTTCTTAATTTTTTTACCGTTGATAACATTCATTGGCGGGATTTTCGACTCCGAGTTAAGACCTAAAGCACTAACGGCTTATTTATCTCATCAGTAGCAATAATAATAAATACTTGCGGTAATCATGGATAATCCTTTGTGGTTTTACCTTGACGTCTGTTGATTATGACAGGTGTTAATCAAGGCACACTGGATTTCGAAACACCGGGATGATGTGATAACAACTTTCCAAAACATACGTACGTTATTATCATAGTTTCCGTTAATACAAAGTTAACTATTTTTTTTTTTACAATAGTAGACATTTTCTTTCATTTTGAATGACATTTAGTCATAGATTACTTGATGCAAAATTATTCTTGTTAAGACGTGCCACAGCATCCTAGATTTAAAAATAAATAAAACATCTGAGTCTGGTTATACTTTCATTGTCTTGTTTCTTTCTTACGTCCTCCTAAATTTAAATAAAGCAAATACTTCAGTATAAAATGGTGTTTGTTCACTTGGTACTGGTGTTTGCTAAGCTAATTCTTATTCTCATTTGAGATTAAAACGCGTTCAAAAACGTCCTATTTATTTGAAATTTTGCCGAACCCCCGTTAAAATTCGCAAACGGACGCCAATGGCCGCGGTATTTCCTTCCTTCGAAAAATGTGTAATAATCATGCACATATTTACAGCATGAGTCGGCAGTAATTACTTACGCTCGAGATCATCCAAGGTTGCAAAATATAGGGTGTCGCAAAGCACGTTTGCGACACTTTTAAATCCAAACTGTCACAAAATATTAACCAATTACGATCGAGCATTCAACCGCGAAAATTTAAATTTCGCATATATGTATACGGTTTGCGAAAAGAGCATCGTGGGTGACAGATCTTCCACATATTTGTTTTCGCATTTCGTGCTGCTGTTGAGCAATACTTTTTATGTAGGTCACATATCGCTTCCGCTGTCATGGTTAGAATTTTCATTAAAACTGAGATACACGTTTCGACGTCGCAATGTTTAATCTGGTAATAGAACCACCCAGTATTTTGAGATGAAATATTCATCGCCGTGTCACATCCAAGCTTAGTAATAAGCGTCTAGATTTCGAAATCAATCAGATGCAGTGTTTTTCGTCTCGCTCGAATAAACCCGGTGTATATTTCTATCGCTGTTTAATTCCTCTATATGTACATTCGTATACCTTTCAGTTTCAGTTGAGCTGAAATTTGAAATTCACGTCACCTGTCACGTTGTCTGATGTTTAATTTACTTCCCTCGAAATGTTCACGTATCCTCGTCCAAACAAAAAATCGATATGTGTTCATATCACACAATTTTGTGTTTTTAAATTAGTGTCTGAATCCCACTCAGTTTGTATGTTTTCCAGTAAACGGCGAACTAGAAATGACAGGTCAATTCGAATGGATGGATTTAGATACCGACGAAAACGAACACAGTATTGAAATGCATTTACCTTATATAGCGAAAGTTATGGAAAAGTGAGTGTTCGTATCGACACACGCATATAGATTACATTTTTTCCCCTTTAGTTACAAACACCAATTCACCATAGTACCTATACTCGTCGGATCTCTTAGTCCAGAACGGGAAGCTTGCTATGGAAGAATACTATCAAGTTATTTAGGAGACCCACAAAATCTTTTTATTATATCGTCAGACTTCTGCCACTGGGGCCACCGGTTTCGATACACGTACTACGACCGCTCGTACGGAAACATTTATCAGTCAATAGAAGAATTGGACCGTTTGGTACGTATCCTTCACGCTAAAACCTTTCGCATTAATAGATATTGTGTGACTCGGGCGGATGGATAGGTTTTGGCGTGCGACGCTTCCGCTTCGTTTGACTTAATAAATTGAGTGTATTTGTTTGACAGGGGATGAATATCATCGAAAATTTAAACCCGACGGATTTTACGAATTATTTGAAAAAATTCGGAAACACGATTTGCGGTAGGCACCCTATTGGAATACTTCTGCAGGTACGGTAGGCAGGTGGTGTATTCGTGTATGCTTTTTTTTCTTGCAGGCGGTGCAGGAGCTCCTGCGAAACGACAGTAGGCGAAACGCGAATTTAAAATTCCTAAAATATGCTCAGTCAAGTCAGTGTCGTAACATGAATGATTCGTCAGTGAGTTACGCATCGGCTGCCCTTGTGTTCGAGTAGTCAGTGGCCTTACAGCTATCACATGCATTGACTGTTATTAAAAGGAACACCTTCGATTTTCATTATTAAACGATAATGTGCAGAGCGAAGTTTGGTATCTACTAGGGTAATTCCGAAGGATTTGTTTACACAAGTATATTTTAACTCATTTAAGTTTTTGCGAGTAGTCGTAAGGGAACACCTAGCTTTATTTTCTAGATTGTAAAAATTGAGATGAATTTTATTGAAAATTCGTTCTCTGTAAAGCTAAATTCTAAAAATCGTTAGTTTAGTTGATTGTCTTAATTTACGCTTACCTGCCGTTTATACTAGTAAGTAAGGTTTTTTACTAAACGATTCCACTAAGTGACAATTGCATCACAGTGCTTGGATCAAAGTGGATGGTAGGGTATTGTTAATTTTGGTATTGTGTTTTGGGTGTATGTATCTATTTGAATAAATAAAAAACGTCAAAAATTAAGTTTATATGTTAGTTAATAAGTCATATTTGGCTTAACTCTATTTTTTATAACGATCTTGTGCAAGTTTATATTCGAACTCGGTCCAGAATTTTAATTTTAGAGAAAACCCAGGAAAGTGCATATGGTTCACTTATAGTCGTTAATTTTTCATATTTTAATCTCATTGTGATAATTTAATTCAGTGTTAATATTTGTTAAATGTGATGCTCGTTACTTTGTGACATGCATTTTAATTATATAAACATTGAAATTTCGCAATATTATAAGTATGTGTAGAACTAAGGAAGGTTGTGAAATTTTACACTGTAGGGCTTTCCCGAATTTAGGTTTATATACAGTGATGTCGCAACATTCATTTGTGCTTACAAGTCATAATTATCAGAAAACTGGATGTCGATTGCTTGGTAGTTGTATTTAAGAGTACCAAAATGTTAGCTACTAAATTCTGTATAGAGGGATACGGATGTGGGGAGTTTTGCTGTATAATTATTGACACTTCAGAAATATATATATATCATTTATAGGGCCAAAATTAGACGTTTGTGTTAAGTCGTCATAGGTTTTTGCATAATTAGCTTGAATTTTTGTAGGGATCGAAAGCGAATGAATTTCTATTTCGTTCATAATTAACTATATTTTCACCTTTACGTATGTTCGGATAGATTTTATGCTAAAATTAGGTATATAACGATATACAATAAATTTGTCCTGCTGTAGGCCTACTGTTTGTAAGCCTAAAGACTGTAAATTTACAATATGAAGTACATATGCCTTTAATCAATCAATCTATTGGATGTATAAACTGTGAATGCAATTTTATATCATTCTTGTAACACGAAATATATGTGAAAAATATTTTAACTGGTGTTTTTTTTCCGGCGTGACGTCAGACTCGTCGATTATCGACGAGTCGAGGGAAAGGCGGCTTAAGCCCGACGTCATCGCGTCGATGACGTCATATGTCCGCGTCTTATTAGCAAAAACACCCTATCGAGAAAACTCCTACTAATTTTGTACTTATTCCATTACCGTCTTTCCTTTTTTTGACAGGTGTCGATCGGTAGGCGGGGTGAAAGTGGGCGGAGCGTTTTTTTCAAATTTTTGCAAATTAGTTTTCGAGGTCAAAAAACGGATTTTAATATTTGCGTAAAATTTTCGAGCATATTTCGTAACGGTGCACGTTTTGCTTATGCGTTCAAATTTTTGGGTGTAAACGGGAGATGGGGAAATTCACTCCCCGGAAAATGACAGATCCGCGTTCTTCCGACTCGAATAAAATCATTCGAAATAATAATAGCGTCGATAAATAGCCGCAATAATAAAATTTTCTTGCAAATATTGACATGAATGATCGTGGCGAGTGGCGACCCAGTTTGGAGTTTGTGTAGCCGGTGTCAATGTAGGTGAAATGAAGTTGCTCCAAACAAGAGAAATCGTCGTCTGTGTTTCCCTATGTCTTAAGAAAACCGTAAATACAGTGCGTTTTCTGTGATAAAAAAACAAGTGTTGTGTTTATTGAGACGGTACAAGATGTAGGAAGTGCTGGTTCGGTCAAAATAAAACATTTCCAGTGTTTATGTGGCACAGATAATTGTTTTCCACTTGGACGATATAAACATGGCTACTACTCAGACTCTTAGAACTCTTTCGTTTTAAAAACACGCTGTATGGACGTTAATGGTACAAATACACAAGTACACGAAGAAATCAGTATGATTATGACATGCCCAGGTAAATAACCTCAGCGTCACTGGCAGCCCCCTTATATAACCTCAATCGCCTCTTTCGATTCGGATGCATGCACCTCGTGTTTACGAAGTCTTTTTTATTAAGTGTGTTAACCCCCGCAGCCCCAATGAACGATAATTTTTTTCGTTTTAGCCAAATCTAGCAACCCGACCTGTCACTCAAAATTTAAAGTGGCCACAGCACTCTTGATGTTTTTGATCCGGGCATACTATATTGGCAGAAATTGTGATACATTTTGATATTTACGATTTTTGTAATCGCATGCTACCAAAAATAGTGTCCTAGCTTCTGTTATGTTGTAACGTGTTTGTTTATACTGTGAAAATATTATGAATATGATAAAGTGTCATTTGACATACTTTTGATGTGGTGAGTGTAAGAAAATTTCAGTTGTTTTATCAAGATTCTTGCGTATTATTGAACATTCATTAATATGTGAGTCGACAATTATTCCTTTTTTGGCAGTAAACTTACACAGAACCTTGAATTTTTAATGACCGCTTTTGCAACGAGGGTTGTGCTTAATACCTTCCCAGTAACATATGTCAAAAGGTGCTCGTTTCGTATCGTATCAGTCGCTATCGTTACAATATGAACGAATATCGTAAATCCGAGGATTATATTAAAATTGAGTCTCTCGTTTCCGAGTCGAGGTTGGTCGTCGGTGGTGAAAACATACGTAGCGTATGTTTGTTTCCTCATTTAGCGCTTATTGGTTACCGCTAAGTGTAAAATGTACACAGTAACATTAAATTTGCTCAAGATAAGAAAATTTCACGCCTCTTGTGTACCCTTTTAATCATCAAACTTTCGGCGAGGCTAATAACAATAACCAAATGAGAGCCGTCACATCAGGAAAGTTTAATTTCGGTTGACACTACAGAGATTCTCGTAAAAAGCACATGTAGCATCAGTGTGGCGGTCACTGTGAGTTAATTAAGTCATTTATATTCATATTAAAATCTGAGAGTAAAATCGATGCAAAGTAAGGTTTTTTGTTTTATTTAATTACGATTCTTTGTGTTCACAACGTACGCCCGAGGTGACAAGTTGGTTGTCGATTCAAATTTAAAATTTTCCTTTTATATTTTTTTTGCCGACTCTCTGTACTCAAAGTCGCTAAAGCGCAATAGCAGAAAAATGGGGAAAAATAAATTTATCGCGGCAGGTTATTGCGTTTCTTTTGTTGTGTGAGTTTTTATGTAGTCAAGTTTGGAAACTGTTGAAATAGCTTTTGAGATGTTCAGGTTATTAACTTACGTGTTTTTGGCATAAAGAGGGAGCCTTTGAAGGGGTTACTGTTTTACGCACCACTCGGAGCTCGCGAATACGATATTCGCTCTTATTAACGCAAATTGTAAGTAAATATATTTACTTGCATGGGGATGTGTTGCGATGTGGTTGCGATTCCTGCTAACAACCGCAGCCGTAGATGCTGAAACATACATATACATCTAGCACGCCAATATAAGCAGCCCTCTTACTTGTTTCTCGGCTATTAATGTAGTCTGTTTTAAAGTGCCGTACAGATTATTACTCTAATTAGCGAAGTGTCGGAGTACGCTAGCAAACACTAAAAATCAGGTATGATCGTCGTTTTTTTTATTTTATTCGTGTTTATTGTGTGGTATTTAAAGTGCACTCGAACCGCCCGTAAAAATTTTCCTAAGTTTCAGTGCCTCTTCGGGTATCGAGGCAAATAGACGTTGGTAGGGATGCTAATTTAGAGTTTGTGAAGAAGCCGTCGGTGCGTGGACGACTACATCAAATAATTTCCCCCGTAATAACGATGTCCAACGAACGTTTTCTAGTGTCGTTCTGAGTAAATATAAGCGACTAAAAATTGGCCGTTCGTAAATCGATGTTATTTGTCTTGTTTGTTGTGTAGGCTGTGTCTGCATGTCAGGCTGTAGTCTGGGCAAAATATGAACTTATTTGGCTGCCTCTTTCCGTGTGCACTGCAGCACAGTTGGTGGAGTGTTGGAAACGAGCAGTGCATGACTGAAGAGTTTGTACACAGAATGGGCGTGAACGCTTCCACGGCACCCGGTGTCGAGGCTGTCCCCGTGCCAAACGGCATGGGAGTCGCGGACCCATGCACGCCTCCTTTCAGAGACACTATCGGAGTCATAGTCAGGTAAACCCTACCCGCCCTCACGCAACCCCCGCTCAAACTCGTCTTGCTAGGGAGCGCAAGAAGAAGGTTACCGGGTTCGCGACGCTAAAGAAGAAATTCATCCGCCGGAGGCGATCCTCGAAGGCCTGCGACCATGGCCGCATGCTCCGCGAACTGGTGGCCGACTGGAGCCCCTTGGAAGTGGCGGCTTTGCTGGAGGAGTACGAGGCCTTGGCCGCGTTGAAGGACCTCTGCGTGCAGGCGGAGCTGGCGCGTCCGCCCGCCGCCACTTTCAAGCAGGACCTCTCGGCCTTGTACGACTTCAAGTACTGCACCGACGCCGACCTGGTGTACCGAGGGGCCTGCTTCCCCATACACCGGGCACTGCTCTCCGCCAGGTGCCCGTACTTCAGGGACCTGCTGGCCGGCTGCCCTGGCTACGGGGCTCGAATATGTCTCGAACTGAGAACGGCCACCGTCGACGTGCAGCTGTTCTCGGCGCTGCTGCGGTATCTGTACACCGGAGATATATGTCCGCACGACACGAACATAGACATCAACCTGCTGAGGCGACTACGCGAGGAATTCGGAACGCCCAACGCGCTGGAAGCCGATCTGCGTTACTTACTCGAAAGCGGCGACTATGGCGACGCTGCGCTAGTGTTCACTTCCGACGGTTCTGACTGCCAGAGGCCCGATTCCGGTAGTTCGGAGTACGGATTCAGGCCAAAACTAGAATTACCATGCCATAAAGCGATCTTATCGGCGAGGTCGCCCTTTTTCCGCAACCTGCTGCAAAGGCGATCTCGAAGCGGAGAAGAACACACGGAAAGGGCTCTGCATATACCCACCAGGATCGTTCTCGACGAATCCGTCATACCGAAGCGGTAAGTCACGATCGGGGTTCAAGTCACGTTCCTTTAATATCTTCACTTAACCGCTGATGAAATAGCGGCATTTTGCTTCTTTAATTACTCCATTAACCATTACACTCTATTAAATCCTATCCGTTTTGAATTTTTTTTAGGTACGCTCGCGTTTTGTTGCACGCTATATACCTGGATCAAGTAGATCTGTCTCTGATATCGCGCGGCGGATGCGGCGGTGGCTTAGGAGAAGCCCAAGCGTTGACACACACAGGCCGAGCTCGCCCCTCACCACTCGAAGAAGCAATGGAACTGTATCAAATCGGACGATTCTTGGAATTAGATATTCTATCACAAGGCTGTGAAGATTTAATTTTAGAATGGTTGTCTCTAGAAACGCTTCCGACTGTACTCCAGTGGGCCAAACAACCGCACGGATCTGCCTGGGTCCACCGACAAGCACTGCATTTCCTCCGAGAAGAGTTCCAACCGGTCGCGCAATCGCCAGTGTTGCATCAATTGGACAAGGCTCACCTGATCGAAGTACTGAAAAGCCCGTTTCTACAAGCGAGCGAGCTCGAAATCCTCCACGCCGTGCTAAAATGGGGAGAGAACGAATTGGTCCGTAGAATGGAAGATCGAGGTAAGTGCCTGCCGCTTGTACCCCTCACCTCGCTAACCTCTTTGTTTTAAAGAACCGAATATAGTGAGCCACACTGCTCACTCCGTAGCCCGGAAGGGCGTGAAAAAGCGCGATTTGAGCGACGTGGAACTTCGCGAAATCCTGTCCGACTTGCTTCCTCTCGTCCGCATGGACCACGTATTACCTCCCAACAGCGATATACTAAATCAGGCTATTCGACGCGGTTTGGTCAGCACCCCTCCGAGTCACATGATCGGGGGCGATCGAGAGAACCTCCGCGTGAACGCGTGGATCCGGGGCGACAAAAACAACGGGCTCTTCGTCCAACCGCGGCTCTTCATGCCGTACTACGACGAAGTGAAGGTGTTGGTCGAGGACCAGTTGGTCCAAGAAGTAGAGATGATGCGTTTAAGACGGGCGAGGTACATGCCGGACATCCCGGATACGTTGTACATGGTCGAGGATAAGCCGCGCGTTCACGGTCCCGCTGGCGTCGACGTTTTGGCGTCGGTCCTGCCGGTGCCGGACCCAGCGGTGATGAACGCCATGTTGAAGCGGGAACAAAAACTGCGCCAATCGCCGAGTTGTCAACGTGCTCTTAACATGCCTTTATCGTCGCGGCACGAGATCAACCGCCAGATCAGGTTAAGAGTAGTAAGGGAGTTCAACTTACCCGATCCGGTAGCGGATATGCTTGAGAACTGCTACTGCGTACCGGATCCCAGCGACAGCGATATGGGAAACGTGAACGAGGGCCTGCAAATTTCGCCAAACAAAGGTCTAGCTCGAGCTTGCTATGGCCGCAATATGACTTTCCCCAGGCCCGGAGCGTATTCGCAGCGTCACGAATTACCGGCGATTATTCCGGAGGGAGAGTTTCGTTTTTCCAACGAGCCGGAGAGCAGTTCATGCAGCGACGGCCACTTGTCGGACATCATGCCGGATGTCGCAATGGCCACGGCTACGTTAGGTCAGATGCAGCTGCAGGAGCAGCAAGAGATGGAGCTGGATTTGGGCGACGGAGCCACGCACTTGCACGGTTCGATGGGGACCGCACCAGGGTTGCCGGGGTCTCTGCACCACCCACTTTCTTATCGTCGTTATCAACCTTCTACTTATCCTCATCTGAGGTCTGATTCGCAATCTTACCACACTCCTATGCCGCGATTTTTATAGTTTTAATTGTAATTCTTTGTTTCGCTTTCGTGTCTTGTACATAAAATGGAAAAGCATTCTTATCGGGAATAATATACATCTGTGATTTTCTGTGACGAGACATCTCTAGTTTAAAAATATTTATTAGATCTTTTTTTCCGAGACTGATTCGAGATTTTTGTTTACGATTGCAGATGATTAATGCCCGAGTAATACTAACGGTTGATTGTTTCATTGATCAACAAATTCCGTTAATTCTGTATTCATGTACCTGTGCGTGTCTTGTCTTAGATGTTGCTGTGTTGCTGTTACATGTAAATATATTTAGAGTCCAAGTGACGTCTCTTATACGGTGCGATTTTATCCACTACTAAGTGCAATGTGTACTTAAAACACTCTCATAACGACTATCATTAACTGTTTCAACAACGAACATTTCATTCTACAGTTTGCTTTCTTATTACGACTACAGTCAACGGTTATTTATTTTTTTATGCGACGCATTTTAATCTTCCAATTCTTAACGGAACTAAATTCTGAGTTACGGTCCAGTTGTTTACTGCATATCATCTTCTCGGAGAAAGCCGTGAACGTAACCTAAAACACTCACCCTTTATTGTTAGCGGAGGTGTTCGTGATGGGCTAAATGCGTAAATTGTTGACGAAAAATGCAAAAATGCCGACGAGGGTTACTTCGTATCTTTCCCTTTTAATTTAGTTCATAAATTGTCTGTGATTAATGTTTCTTTGAAGTTGCTATATATATAACATTTCTTGATTGGTTGATGTTGCAGATCACCATTTTGTGATATGTATTGTAATCTACGTTGATGTAATCACATTATTGTTATACATACATGTTAGCTTAGAACTGTATGGTTTATAGGCTTCTATGGGTAATTATTATTTAATAGAATCCTAAATGTACTCAATCGGATAATTCATGCGATTCAGGGTATCCACATAAACATAAAAAATGTTTATTTGTGATATGTAATTTGTATTTATTATTTCGATTATGTTGCTACGTTTTTAAAATACTTTTTGCAAACTGCAGTATGTTATATTTCAATATAAATATTAACACAAATACGAAAGACATTATAGCTTATTACATAATTTATTTGAAAATGTAAATATATTAAATACAAAAAATTATAATTAAACGTTGTTTTAGTAAAATAAAGATCACGATCAAATCCAAATTTCGTCAGTTTGAGTAGCCTTATCTACGAATTGCGGCTTGGCAAGACGAATCATGTACGTCGGACTTATCGCTCTAATGGGTCTCCTGCACTTCAGTTCTGTCAATTTCATACGTTTCACAGTTGGCGCTTCTAGTTCGTCTGGCTGGGGCCGCTTAGTACTAGCGCTTGCTAAAAAAGATAAATTATGTGAGTTGTTCCAGTAACGCATATTCAAATACACACTGAAACTACTCTGGGCTGTCATAGATATATTGCTTACGACCGACTTCACTATGTTCGTCACTGAAGACCAAATATTCGTGGGTTTATTAAGTAAAGGTGCATTTTCTGGACTCTTTGCATTTAAACTGGAACCATTATCACTGTTGAATACGTTAATTTGCAGCGATACGTTAATTTTGTTACTCCTGTCAAAGGAGTCAGCGACATTGGATCCGCTAAACTCCACTGTAGTCAAGGCACTCTCCCATAATGTCCTGTCTATCTTAGATTTGTCAAAAGCTATAAGTTCGTTGTTAATGTTTTCTTTTTCTTCGAGTTTCGTGCTGGTGGGTGCCGTTTTGAATATTTCCTCCTCTACACTTGCGTATGAATCGTCTAAAAAAAAAACTAAACAGTAGATCACACCAACCACAGTCCAATATACCTGCAGATGCCTCAATTTCATCTTCGAGTTTATCCTCTATTTCTAAAACAACAAAGACATTTTAGCAATTATTTTTGCGAATAATCTGTCTCTTTACGTTTTGGCAAAGAGAAACACTTTGGTTTTTTGGGACAGTCGGAGAATGATGGCGTTTCCGAAAAAGTGACCCTCCTGTCACTTCTCTTTGAGTCGCTCAAGTTAGATGATCCTGTCAACTTCAAATTAGACTTGTGGATATTCAGACTTTGATTATCTGGAGTTATTTTCTGTTTTGTGTTGATTTCTTCTTTGTGAAATAAAGGAGTACTTGAAGCGGCCATAGCAATTGAAGTAGGACCATTTTGATGAGTTCCGTTTTTAGTAGTCTTATAAAACGGCGTGATTTCAGGAGATGGTTCTTCCTTATCTGCGACAGGAGTAACAGGAGTTTTGGGAGTTCCACACATCTTTTCGACTTTCAGCGGACACTTGTCGTGAGGTACCAGCTCGTCAAGAGAACTAAAGACCTTTTTGCAGAAGACGCAGTGTAGCGGCCAGTGGGCACTTTTGATGTGACTGAGTAAAGACACTGAAGCCTCCTTAATGGTAGTACGACCATAAATGCAGAGTTCGCACTCCGGGTTTACGTTGTGGAAATCTTCCTCATGGTGGGCGCGGCATTTTTCACAACAAAAGGTTTTATGGCAGAGGCGACAGTTATTCTGAAAAGGTAAAGCCAAAATTAGTCAGTAGTTCAATACCTTTGTAAAACAGAAAGATTTATTTTTATGCAAGAAACCCCGTTAGCCCGCCACTGTTTACTTGAGTTGAATAGAAGTACAAGGGGCGGAACAAATTTAACACGACGAACGTAGGGCGCAGAGGTCACGTGATACGTATTTCTTTGAGTAGGGATAATCGCGTTAAAAAAATAAGATAACAATAAATGTTACTAATATTAATGTATAAATATGTGCATTACCTGTTTAAACGATTCCATTATTTAAAAGCCCGCCAAAATAATTACACGAACTGATTAGCCAAGAACACAGCTTTATGTCACAAAATTGAATCACACAACACATAATATTTAATAAAAAAAAATCGCACTACATGTTTTATTTCACCTAGAACTCAAAATTTATTTTAAAAGTGTAGTTTTTTCGCCGCAAAACTCGATTGGCTGCTTCTGTGATTGGCTGCCATGTTTGTTTTTATAAACAGCCGGTAATCCCGTTTTTTGTAGTTTTCTTAATAAAATACTTATCTTTTACGGCGATATGTATTAACCGAAGTGTTTTTAAACATTTTAGTACAAGGTAGAGATGAGTGGGGCTGTTTATGGGGGAGGTAACGAAAATAAGTCAATAAGTTCATTGTTTGGTAAACATAACCTCAAATTGTAGATGAAGTCGGGGCCCTCGTCTTCGACATTGGTCACAACACAACCAGGGCCGGCTTCGGGGGCGAGGACAGCCCGAAATTGGACATACCGTCAACCATCGGTGTGTGGTTGGATTCTCACGACGATGTTACTCAAAAGCGGTACAATATTGGAATCACTTCCATCAACGTTCGAAGATCTGGTAATTACGATTTTCGCGTTGTAATTGTGAAACGTCGTTTTCGTTGCAGAAATGGAACTGACAACTTTTTTAAAAGACGGGATGGTGGAAAACTGGGAGATTTTTGAAAATTTCCTGGATTATATATACACTAACGCTTTGAGGGCGATTCCGAATGACCACCCTTTACTTATCACAGAGCCGCCATGGGTAACCCATCCTAAAAGGGAGCAATTAACCGAGTTAATGTTTGAGAAGTACAATGTTCCTGCTCTTTATTTAGCTAAGAACGCATCCCTCGCTGCCTTCGCCAATGGGCGTCCGACCTGCCTTGTTGTTGATAGTGGAGCCACTCATACATCCGCTGTTCCTGTTCATGACGGGTACCCATTCCACCACTAATTAGTCCATTGCTTGCCCGTTGTGATTGTGTTGCTGCTTGTATGATTTTTCTTTTAGCTTTTTTCGCTTCTTATTGGCTTTGTGATCATATTATCATTGATAATAATTAAATCTAAACCCCTCACAGGTTTGTGCTGACACAAGCTGTGGTTAAGTCGCCAGCAGGCGGAGATTATTTAAGCGCACAATGTCGCAATTATTTAAACGAAAAAGGAATTGAAATTGTCCCTCCTTGCATGGTAGCCTCTAAGGAAATTACCAAATCTGAAGAAGCAGCTAATTTCAAGCGGAGGGTGTACCAAGCCAAGCTGACTGACTCCTGGCACAATTACATGGTTAGAGTAAGTACTATAAACACTGTATTTGTATACTAATAAAATTTTGTAACATAAAAGTGAGGTTAGAGTACTAATTTTTTTTTTTTTTTAAATCACAGCAAGTGATGCAAGACTTCCAAGCTTCAGTCCTCCAGGTCTCGGACAATTTGTACGACGAAGAGGTGGTTAAAACAATGCCGGCCATTCACTACGAATTTCCAAATGGCTTCCATAAAGATTTTGGAGTTGAGCGGTTCAAAATACCCGAACCCCTTTTTAACCCCGTCGCTGGGATTAAATCTGGTATTCAGCCGACTCTGGGGGTTGGCCCGTTAGTCACCACCAGCGTGGGGATGTGTGACATAGACATCCGACCCGTAAGACTTAAAGTAATTGGCGCATGCGCACTACAATACCAGTTTATAGGCAATGTATGGTAGTGTGGTCGTCACCGGCGGGAATTCGAATCTCCAGGGCTTCACAGAGCGGTTGAATCGTGACTTGGCTGCTAAGACGCCACCGGTAATAGTTGAGAACCCGTTTTCTGGGTTTTGAACCATTTCTGTTAATTTTTGTGTTTACAGAGTATGAGGTTGAAGATAATCAGCGCCCCCGGCGCGACTGAGCGGAAATTTGGAGCGTGGTCCGGAGGTTCGATTTTGACGTCTCTGGGTTCGTTCCAACAGCTATGGGTGTCTAAGCAAGAGTACGACGATGGCGGGAAAGCTATAGTGCAATCAAAATGTTTGTAACTTGCCTAAGTAATTTTTACATGTTCGTTACAGTATTATTGTTTACGTTCGATTTGTTTGGTGTGATAAAATTGCAGTATTTAAGGCCTAGTTGATAGGGTTCGACTGTTGCGGTCGTAGTGATGAAAATTTTTTTGGAGATTTTTTTTCAAACATTTGTGATATATTTGTTAAAATACTTGTGGCAATATTTTTGTACTGTCATGTTCCTATTAGTGTTCATTTGATTAAGTTTTTGTAAGTCTGAGTGATTAGTCACGCTAATCTATAATACTCGATTTGATAATTTGTGATTTTTTCTCGATGTGCCAATAAAATTTGCCAAATTAATCGTATAAGTTTATTTATTGCATATGGAGAAGTACAGGGGGCGGGGCCTAATCTGTATTAAAAAACATGTGTAGGGGATGACGTACGACGTACTTGTGAATTGTGGGGTTTATAATAAAACAACAATTGGGCGTAAACTTCTATAATAAATATAAAATTACAAACTTCAGAAATTAGTTAAGAAGCTCTCAGTGGCATGGGTAGCGAGCAGATGGCGTTGTGAGCGTAAATGGCTACCACTCCCGCCAACGTGATACCAATACTGTCTGCAAAACTGGTAATGGCCATAGAAAATTGTTTGTGTTCTTCTTTGACCTGAAAATTAAAAATTAGTTTAAAAATCAAATTTCACAATTTTGTAACGAACCTCTGTGGAAATTCTGTAAAACGTGTTCACATAGGCTGCCCCTCCCAATAAACCCTCCCAGAGGGTCAACACAGCTATAATCCAAAAACTTGGCATATAATAATAAATTACTTCAGTGGTAAAAATAACCACATTAACAGCCTGCAAAAAAATACTCACAACCTTTATAAGATTTACCATATACTGACCTACCTGCAATACTGACATCACCCATATGTATCTAATATGGAAGAAATTAACTGAAGATCTTGAGAAAAATACACCTACTTGATAGAGCACCTGTAGCCATCTGTACTGGTCGCTAGGTTTTAAGAAGGTATTGTCGAAATTAATCAACTCAAACTAAACCAAAACATGTAACTAATAAGGTAAAAATTAAAACCAAAGTACTCACAGTTCCTTGGTTTATAAAATATTCTAGAAAATACACCAAACCGAACGGAATCATATACTTGAGCAAAGAAGGAACCTGCTTGAATTTTTTCTTAAGTGCTTCTTTCGGATTCTTAATTTCTTCCGCGTTGACGTTATTTTGCACATCTGTGTCATCCTGAACTTCAGGTGTAGGTAAAATAATATAAAATCTAAAAAAACATGCAAACGATTGGTTAAAACTAAAAAACTAAATTTAGCACGATAATTGTTGGTTGCATAAGTCGGCTATTTAATAAAAAGTGCAACGAAAAGCGAAATGTCACTAAAGTCACGTTACCTTTAACATTTAGCATAATTTTTTTTAATTATTTCGTTGCACAGATAACGTGTGGGTCAAAACCCTGCCGCGCGGACGCACATGGAAAGTTGATAACCTTTGAAATTTGATAGCGATTAAAAAAATATTCCCCGTGGCCGAAATAAATTTCCTGACCTAGCTCTTCCTGTTAAAAATACACACTGTTTATGTAATTGTCGATAAAATTAAATAAATTTATGCAAAATTAATACGTGCTGTGGTACACTGGATGTCCAAAATATGTATTTGATTTACAATAGATAAATAAAAATAAAGTATGCGTAATTGTCACATCAAAACAATTTTAACATACCTACGTGAAACTGGAATTTTCAATGTTATTGTTAGCTAGAAACATAAATATTTTAAAGTAGTAGGTGGCTATAATCACAACAATTCTTAGAATGCAATTAAAAAGTGCTGCAAAACAAGTTTATGGACTTTATTTTAACTGGGAAAAACCTGCAGACATATTTCATATCGATGAAATGTACGACGTCACGCGCTGTAACATTTTATCAAATTTAAATAAATTTTGATATTTTCAAGTGAAAAATCTGAAATTTAATTGATGATAATGATGTTGCGTGCCTAATTACAACATCAGTCAAACATTTTTTTTTATTTAAATAAAAAATTAGCTATAGTTATTACTATTAACACTCCGTACGCATAAACATGGGTTAGTTGTTCGCTTAAAAATTTTGGTACTTACGTCACAGCCATGATACCAGGAACTATTAACATCACTAATAAAGTAGTTTTAAAGCCTAATTGTTGTAACAGAGAGTAGGAAAGGGCCCCTATGACACCAGCACCTCCAGTGCCTGAGCTCCACGTCGATACGACGTTTCTACGAAGCGGCATTAAAAACGAAAAAGTCAAAATCTGACACTTACTTGTCAAAAAATGAACTATATTGGAGATATGTCACTTCTCCAAGTCCGGAACAGAAGGAAGTGGCGACCACCCCTAGCAACGACATAGTAATGCTTTGGCTGAACGCCACTAAAAGAAATCCTGCTGAAGAACACAATATACAAATGGCGACCCTCACACTGAAAATGTTTGTTTAAATTTTTCGAAATTTTCGAAAATGTCATAGACTTACTTAACAAAAAATGGAAAGAAGGGCGCTAGTAATTTAACTACTAAACTGGGAATAATGTCAGCTAATAGAATGGCGCCTGTAGACATATATGTACAGTTTCGTTCTTTGCTTTTTGAACCCTATAAAAAATCTCAATTTTTAATTTTGAAAAATTACTAGAAAAAATCTGTTGATCTGGAATTACGTCCGATAGATGTTTCGTTTGTAGCATTGTCTGCCTGAAAACATCTACCTACAACTAACACGGATTGGAAAAAAAAAATGTGATGGCAGTTATGTATGAAAAATAAACAGGGTTATTACTTCGCTTTCTCCTATGATATCGCTGGCGGCTGTCAACATCACAACGTATCCATAATTGTTACACAGTCCTAAAATCCAGTAGGATATTAACGCTCGCCACGGTTTCTTCTTCTTGACAGTCCGACTATCCGGTGGTAAAATTTTATCACTGCTCTGGTACTCTGCCATGCTTTCGTAGTTATATTTGGGTTTTCGCTTATTGGACCCTGCAACATACCCCATGCTAGAATCTAAATTTACTTTACCCAATGCGATTGATTTATTGGTGCATATACCTGGCGCAGGCTAACTTATTATTTATTAATTTACATAGAGCAACCACTAGCACGAACAAGCAAATCGCATTTGGTTCGTTATCAATTCATATCAACAGAAATTTTGCATGTGTGTTAATACTAACGGGAGATGCGCTCTGACACTGACAATGTGATAAATTTATAAGAAGGGTTACTTAAATACAATTGTCCGAATAATTATACCTAAACATTTAATGAATATTTATTAACTTTAACAACACTTGATTAACTACATCTATTGGGAAAGCAACCCATTTGTATTATTGTGCACGATCGTGACTACATTACGATTAAATTATATCCCGCTTAATCACTCTGTCGTCAACACATTACAAAACAATCAAGGGCAAAGTAAACAGATGTCAGTACCGATTACCGCACTCTTTCAACCGAAGAACTTCAAAAACAATAATCTGTAATTTTGTCAGGTTCAAAATTTTGACGTCGGTTGGCGGGCATTTACGAGGTCATTAAATGACCTTGTCAATCAGTGGCGTTCAGAGTTCTAGAAATATAACTAAATAATAAATATCTAGTTACTCCAATTTAAAGCTTATTGACTCTTAGCACATCTGGCACCCAAGCGAATTTGCTCTAGGACATGTCCATTGTCCTATCAATTTAGCAATTACTAAACAGCGTGCTTCAAATTTTACCTCTCGGACCCTTATTACACAACACAAATCTTGAATTTCGCGGTTTTTCTATTTTGCAAAATTCCAGTTGTGAATGGCTGAGCTTTAAAAAGTATAGAACTGTGACGTTGGTTTGATTATTAACCTACTCGGTAAAAAGGTGTTTGTTTAAAAATGAAACTTCCTGTTTCAACAAGCGACTCGCCTTTACGTAAATAAGACCCTAGACATTTGGTGAAAGTTTGGTATTTGAGCGACAAGAAGTAATTAAAAATAAATTCAACTTTCAAAAACCCAGTCAAAAACAACTACAAAGTCAGTACGAAATATCTCAATAATAAAAATTTTGTTATTCCGGAAAAAAGAGCAAATAAATAAATTACTTTTTGACATTAAGCATACGTTGTTGGAGAGACAACATTTTTTCTACGTCTGGCTACAGAACATTTGATAATGGTAAAATTCGATTTCAGCATAGGCCGAATTATTTGATTACGACGGAATTTTCATATCATCAATTTCAGGATGTTATCAACATACTAAAAATATAGTAATTACACCGCAGACAGATACGTATCGCTAATCTACCAGAGATCATCAGCAATTTTAATAAAAATGTGGCCAGGTCAAAATTTGCTCATCACTGTAACAGATTTTATTACATTAGTTGAGATGTTAATCTGCGATAGAAGTTAATTTAATGACAAGTTGCGTTATAGACTAAAAAAAATGTCACGGTTACTAGCAACTTGTACTTTTTGATACTTTTTTTTTTAATTTAGCACGCAGTGCAAAAGGGTGGAAGTTTGTCTAAAATAAAGCAAAAACGGCATGGCTTTGTACTTATTTCATGCCGGATCGCATAAATCACTACTGTAAAGTTTTATCCATAGCGAATCATTCTATATTTGGCAATAGTACACAAATCAATCAAAACGGTTAAATAATTGAGCGTTAAAAGTTGGCGCCGCATTCATTTGGAATGAGACACAACTGAGACGCAGGAAACAGATTCCGCGACTTTGAGGATGTTTTTGTAAGTGTGTCAGGCTCCTTCATACTTGAACGTTGTTTTTGCGCTAGTATTTTCCCAAACGGATTTAACTGTTTGCACTTACGTAATTTACCACAATGATAAAATAATATGTACTTCAAATGTGAAGTGCAAGATAAACAATTAGCTTGTATCATTAAAAAAAACCGGTGGTAAATTTCGGACCGAAAAATTTCCAGCTAATTTTTTTGAACTTTGCTCAAAATATCGTTTGCGTAAATGTATAGATAACTCACGCTTCTGTAAAATGACGCGACAGTTAAACTACGATATCAGTAATATGGAAATTTTAAGTGAAAAACATCAACACAAACATTTAGAGACCAATCTTACTTCGTGGGTACCGTCTACCTAGAGATCTAAGTCCGGCGACCCTAGTTATACGTCGTACGCTCCGGATCATTCTGAGATCCTGAAATAAAACCTTTGAATTTTGAATAAAGAATTCAAGCGACTACGGAAAACATTTTTTAACGAAAACAAACAGAGAACAATCAATAACAACACCACAAAACGATAAGCACTATCGACGGAAACGATAAAATTTCGCTTAAGACAAACTTTCTGACCTGTACTTAAGGTGTGTAAGTAGCTGAAGCTGAAATTGTTTTTTGAAAGTGGCTACAGTCACTGTTCACTTCCACCAAAAATGGTGGAATAAAGAATAACAAATGCGATGTTTCACAGGAAACATACCTGTTATCTAGTTTGAAATCCTTTTGATAAGATTTTTTATTCGTTTACAGCGTTACAGCAGTGCTAAAACGGTGGCACGAAATGACCTGTTGCGGTCTAATGATACACCAATAACTATAATGCCAACCTTGACTATTACAGTAAAAAGCAGAAATTGCAAACAAATAGAAAGTACTATGAAAATATTTGTTGTTTTGGAAATTACACGTGCGTCGGACGCAATTCAAAATGTGTCGTTTTTAATAATGATGCAACGTTGTACTGACGTCTGCTTATTTTTTTCGCATTAATGCAAAATACTGCGGAATTAGCGTTTTTCTAAATGATAAGAAACATAGTTCGTGCTGGTTGCGAAACGACATTCTCAAGCGCATAATAATCGTTTAATACTTTTTTTCCAACCGACGACCTGTGAAATCGTGACGCATGTCCAAAGGTGACGTAACAATTAATGCCCAGTGCTATATATAATTTCAGATGTACCTATTTTTAAATAACCGTATCAGTAAACTTAGGGTTTATCAAAACCCAAATACGATTTTCCGGTTCGTTGAAAACAAGGCACAATCAGTGATGAAATATAAAAATGCATGGAATGTTTTGTAAAATGGCGCGTTTTTTGACTTACCAGAAATCCAGTATAGTGGGTATTTAGGGCAGGAATGGCAGCCGTAAAATTTGTCGTTTGGACTTCGTGGTGTACATGCACTAAATTAGTTGTACGAATAAGCGACCGAAAGAAATAATTTACACAAACGACTTAAAAGTAACCGTGAAGTTAGACTTTGTAATGAATTTTCTAAAAATATGTCAAATATTTTACTAGTTTTAAATATTAAAACCGAACTACATTTTAGTTTATTTTAATTTGACCCTGATATCAATGCAATATGTTGATTACCTTACACAACACTCTCTTCGTTGGTACTGAGAAAGTAATTCAAATCTTTATTAACGCCACCAATCGAAAATGCACATGTGAAGTTAAAAATATCCTGATGCCGAAATCAATGAAATATTCCAGACGGTCCTCGAATACTGACAGACACCGGACTCGATAATTTTAAATCGCACTGCTTCCTGCTTGAAGTCAAACCAACTATTGATCGCTTCAGATTAAAAAACAATTGTCATAGTTTAAATAAGCACTTAAAATTAATAACCGCCAAAGATAGCACCAATACGTTAAGGACAATTAATCCGGTCATTGTCACTCCTTTTTTCAATATCAATATCAAATCATAGTTTTTCCCTCCTTGGTTTTTCCCTTGCGACAGGTTAATGCGATTTTAAAGTGACCAAAATAGTATTTACATACCGGTATTGTTGGTTGCATAAACTTGACTTTTTTTATAAGCAAGAGAAATTTGACAAACCGGATTAAAATAAGAACAAAAAATTAAAAAAAAAAATGTAGGCAACTTAATCGTGTGTAAATACCATATTAAAAAACTTCGAGATGCTAAAATTATCTCGGAATGCCAAACAACTGCACGATAAATGAAACACTTCTCCATTTATAACTGTCACATTACATAAAAACGTCCCCTTTTAAAGTTTGCTAACGGTTTTTAATTCGCTGCAGTACGTGATACTAATTGATCGCAAAATCAAAAATTACAACACAGTATTAATCTTTGTCCCTCAACGATAATTTTATTCACCGTTGCACACATTTTTTTTTCAGTGTTTTTTAGATTTATATTTACTTTGGTGGGTCGGGGTAACACTTGTTCGTATACACTGCTTTAGTCAACCACGCTGGGAATATTACTTAATTTAATCCTTCCTCACACTAAATACCCAAATATTGATACATTAACTTTATGGATGCATGGTATGCAAATCCCGTTGACCGAATCACTAAAAATATAAATATTCATGGCTTTTATTAAATCATTTAAGTTGTCAGAGTTTTCCATTTAGTGGAAAAGCGGTTGCACATGTCGCATCGAACTGTAGATTACCCTTAATTGACTTTCCGCTAATCAAATTATACATTTAGAGCAGTTCGGTGGTAAATTTTAGCTACCGTGATGCAGCGTCTGGGTTAAAATGTGAAATTCCCGTTGTGATAAAATAAGCCATAATAAACTCATCGTCAATACATCACAAGACATGACAAGTTTTATAATTCATTAGGAGACGCTTGCATTTTTATATATTCATCGATTGTTGACACTGACACTTAATCAATCGAGTGGAAAATTGTCACAGATAAGATTTTTATCACGTTCTAGAACCACACTGTATTTTGACCTGGAGGTCGTTATTTTTTCAAATCGTTAACTCAAAAATAACTGTCAGCTCAAGGTCATCTCCCGTATTACATTTCATTTGTGCCAACTGCACAACGATAATTAAGTCAATTGAAAACTATTCCATTTTCATGCATAATTAATGAATACAGCGCAACTCTAAAACTAAGTGATAAATATATCTCTGTTTTAATGAAGCACTAGAAATATGTTAGTAGAGGTTTAAAATTTATTGTGATACTGTACCGAATACGGGTGCGAAAAAATCGAACGGCATCAAATCCATGTTTGACCTAAAAACAGAAAACATCTTGTCAGTACAAATTTTACAAAACTATTTTCCAGTGTCTGAAAGTTACATATTTAAATATGGCAGACACTCAATCAACTGTCATGTTTAAATAAACTGATATGAATTAATAACATGATTGCTCTGTTAGTTCTACGTTAATTTTACAATTTAGGCACTTTTTACGAAATCAATGAAACAGAATTTATTTTTATGATTCCAAACCACCGTTTCGTGACAATTTTTGAAAAAAGGAAAGAGTGAGAGAGGAAAAAAGAACGAGAGAGAGAAAAACTGTGTCTTTGTCTAATGCATAAAAAATGAATAGATTTAAGTAGTCTTAAATTCCACACTAAGTCAATCACGCACAGGTGGCACACCTGCGCCATCTAAAAAAAATCAAAAATTTTGAAATGTGTGCCACATTCGTGTCGGTTTGGCTTGGCAAGAGATAGAGGGGTGGCATCAGCGAGACAGACGGCGGATTCTGTCCCGGTGACGGTTAGAAGCTGATTGCAGCATCATCGCGTATGAAAAGGGTGAGTTAGGGGTAGGTCGGCGCGTCTCAGATTCCATTATTCTACCCCATTGACAAAGGCTCCCCAAATATCCTATTCGAGCCGGTTTTTTACGGAACGGATGCGTGAGAGGGGTGAGGCCCAGGTGCGACATTGAACGCATTTGATGCACGGCGATTCTTGCAAACAAAGATCGCAATCAGCAGCCCACGGCAATGGGTTGGAGCCCGAAAGTACCAAACAGTATCGCGGCGCGCTCCCGAAGTCCAAGACATACCGCGAACGCGACATCTACACGCGAGTACGAGCACCTGTTCGCGGTACGCCTACACGTGACCCGCACGAGCGTGGGGAAGACTCCCGGCAAGATGCGGCGAAAATTTTACCAAAGGAGGTTCGGGATACTTTGTGTTGTTACCACAGGTAGTACTATTATTATTTTTTTATTCTGTTTCCAAGTGTGGATCAAAAAACAAAAGTTTAAAATTTCTAAAAATCTTGAAGTTTGAGTGTAGAAAATTTAGTTTTATGTTGGGTACAAAAAAAAGTGTACGCGGTATTAGTGCAGTTTCTACGAATGACGACATAACTTTTCAGTTTTAGGTTACCTGTGGTTTATTCTGATATTTTACACATGATTCTATATATATAGCATGGATGCATTTTCATTTTTGGTTCCAGTTAAGAAAAGTGACGCCATTACTTTGGCGTGAAACGTGACAACAATGCCATTTTAAAAACGTACTTGAAACTATTATTTATTTAGTTTATAGTGTTTAACTAAACAAAGATTTTTTTTGCAGCCCTAATATTTATAGTCTCAAAAATTTTAAAAGATAGACACGACATGGCATATGTGCAAATATGGCGGCATTGTGGCGTTCAAATTCGTAAAATTTCGTAAGCTGACATTCTGCGTTTTTTTTTTTTTCGTTTGAGACTATCTTTTCTATATTTCATTCAAAATTAATGTTTTTCTCAAAAGTTTTCTTATAAGCTTCGTTATCCAAGACTTTCAAATATTTCTTTTATCTAGTGACCTGTGAAATTTAGAAATGTTGCAGATTTGCCACTTCTTAGTGATGGTAGATATTTTTTGTATTAATTAATGTACTTAAAACACCATCTGTTACAGTAATATGACATTTGAACTTTCGTTGTTGTTATAGTTACACACAAGAAAAGAGGCGGAACAAATTACTGCCCACTATGATGTTAGAATCACTTATGGAATATATATGTTGTATGCAACAATTTTCATAGTACATGTCATACGAGTAATAATATTTAATATAGAATGCTTTAAGTTGTGTCTGCAACTGAAGTTGGTGTATATATTTAACACAGTGCACACTTATTAGACGTATGAGCGTATGACACTTCAGATTGATATTAATTTTAGCCCTACTTTATGAATCTGCAATTAAAAAGAACTTAAAAAGTGTAGAACTTTTCTCCTATTCCTTCTATTGTTAGCCAAAATAATAAAACGCACTCAGCATTGAAGTACGACATTGATACGATTATGCCGCATTTATGCATCATCCGACCTTAACCCTACCTCCGTAAATAATCAATTACGTTTGAAAAAATGTATTAGCCACGGTGTACCTACATTTTTTTAAAAACAATCAAACTACAACCTTGAAGAAAAAACCCTACAATTTTAAAACCGAAAATGACTAAATCGCAGTCGTGCCAAAACAATCAAAATAGTTTTGCCAACTACAAACAGATGCATTCACCCTTACATCAAATTAAACACTCGACTGTAAATTGACAAGTCTTCAGGTAAAAGGTTTTAGTGGGAAAACACAATTGTGATCCCCTACCCCATGTACAACCCTACTCTATATTGTGAAATTCTAAAAAAAATAGATCAAGGGAAACGTTTCCAATGGCATGCTTCCTTTATGCGGGATTAATTATTGTTGGAAATAGTACCCTATAGACTTACACGTCAAAATTTGCGGTGTATTATTGAAATAATCACAAGTTTATAAAACGCAGCTGTAGGATTTTTGTTTTTGGGTTGGTAGGCGTGAGGAAGTGGGTGGAGTTTTTTTAATAAGAGAAAAGTGTAATACTTACGGCACATACATAACATGTGTATGTTATATATGTATATGAAACTATGATGTTTCCAGATGACAACCTAAAACAGTCTAATTTTGCGATAACGGGCGAAATTTTAAAATTGAGATTATTATACATACATTTCTTGGAACTAATTACAGATACTTGATGATTTTCATTCGGGCGTATGATCAAATCAGGTTAAATTAATTTCAAAAATAAAAATTTTTTGATCATACGAAAATATGTAAAAAGAACGCTGACGTTTGTAGCCACTGATAAACGTACAATTCTTATCAGTTCATTATAAACGTCAGCAGTATACAATGCTGAACAGTGAAGATATGTTACAATGCCTTTCTGAATTAAAATTTAGTCTAGTCTCTAGTTTTAGTAGTATACATGTTTTGGAAATCGGAATTGCAACGTTATTACATATTTTTAACATACTAATAATATTCTAGAACATTCCACTAACTGTCAAACTAAGGAACATATCTGTCACTTTTTTGAAACGTTGTCATTTTAATACCGTATTAAAATCCATATAATCAACTGAACTAATTAGCATATTTATTAACTGTCATATTTACAGAAAAGTATATGGTATATGGAAAAATACAAAAAAATCTAATTAAACCGAGACGTAGTTCCTGAAAATCAGCCACTTGTATAAATTACAAGTACTAAACCTAAATTTCAAAGAAATTTTAATAAAACAGAAAATAACTCAAAATAACTTACGTCTTCAACCACAAGTCACCCACAAAATTTGCCACACTTGCAAGACTGCTGGTCAGAACTCTCGGCTGAGGAATGCCAAGTACAGTCCGTCTCAGACGATATGTACGGATTTATGGTGTGAAGCTTAACGAGCCGAAAAAGACCGAGCTTTTGTTGCGGGTTGAACTGAATTTGCGTTTACCACGTGTGGATAATTTATCCCTAGGTCGCGATCTATGAGTGACGGGTGCTTATTATGTTTGTTTATCTGCATAATTAGCAGCCTTGACGGACAAACTATACGCCGTTTCCAGTTTTGTAAAATATGCGCAACGAAAAAAACTCGACAAATTCGTGAAAGATTAATGATGGACAGATTTCGTAATCGGGTCGAAATTGAATAATAGAGGAAGATCAAACGAATCGAGAACCAGTTCCTAATATTTAAATGGGCGAAAGCCAGACCGTGGCTCATTGGTTGTCACTCACGCGGATGATTGGTAGATTGGTTGTTAGACACAAATTAGTTTATGTTGGTATTAGTATAACAAACTTATTATTATGGTTAAGTGGGGCACATGGGCACGAACTCATTGATTTTGTCGCGAACTGTACATTATTGATGCAGTTTGCACTACGATGTACATTTAAATAGTAGACAGGTAATAAATAGTGATCACATAGAGCTCTAGTCTATAATATACCTATCGAAAATATTTATGGGCAGATTTGAAACATACAAAATACATACTAGAGGAAAAAATGGGACATACATTTCGATTTATTTAACTACTGACAAAATAATACTACATAAAGTCAATACGAATAAAACTTGAGCGCTAGTTTTAACTGTCTAATTGAAAAAAATGTTATCATTTATTAACGAACTGTCGATAATTTAATTGCAGTTCCAAAAATTGAATCAACAATTTATAATATGGAATAATTAAAACGTTATTTAAGTTATCATTCAGTATCGATCCTTGCTCCATTTTCATTCTACCATTTCATCTAAAAAACAGTCGTCTAGTAAACCGTGTAACGTATTTTTAAGATAATTGTGTTCGTACTGCAATTATTTGACACTAATTTGATGTGTTAGTATTGCCAATATAATTTTTTTAACATCAAATTTCAAAGGTTGCTAGATGACTTTTTTTCTGAATTCGTGAACCGAACCACATATCGTAATCATGGTTACGCAATTTAAAATATTTTTAATAAAACTGAAAAGGGTTTTCGTTACTTGACGTCCAATTGGAAGGGTGCTTCACCTTAAGAAACGTTTTTTTTTTTTAATTAACTTTTTCTGTCAGCTACTACTTCATTATTACTACTACACCTTGGTGGCTACCGAACAGAAATTCCTATTCGTAGTCAATGTGACTGGAAATCGACGCAAGCGCGTCAAGGGGTTGTATAAATTCAACAAAAGTCTTGTAGTAAGCATGACATTTATTTTTATAATAATGAATGAATGATGTTGGTAGGACCAACGAGTTCTTTGTTCGGTTTGACAGTTACGGTCAAATAAGTGTCAAATAACTGTCATTATTTTAAAAATAACTTTCATGGCCTACTAGAGGTTTTTTTTTCGATCACAGAGTATTGTCTAAATACACAAAATAACAAATAAAATTACTTATTTTTGAAATAATTTGGACACAACACAGTAACACAATTATTGATTTAGGAAGGATTTGTAAAATATTTACACTACAAAAACACCTAGCTTAAATTTGACATCAGATCTGTACTGAGCAAACTGAAATTGTGTCAATTATTTTCAACGTCACGCCTTCTTGCAAGAAAATTCTATGCTTGGTATCACATTCAAAGTTTTCTCATAACTTATACCTTTTCGAGGCTACTCCTCCCTTCCAAAATTTGATGACGTCTTTTCAAAATTTCTTAAGTAAATTTTGCTTTCAGTGCACGTGATCACATTCTTCTTCTCTGTAACCGTCAAACTAAACAAAAAAGGCGTTGGTGTTGCCAACGTCATAATTTTAAACCCATTAATTTAAATGGTTAAGATTTTTTTATGGAAATTTTGTGATCAGTGTCGTACTTGCGGTTGAAAATATCAAATTACCACAGTATAACTACGATTAGTAACGAAATTGATGCTTATTGTCACATGTCAGTTTTTAACCTTTTCAAAAATATGACATTTACGTGGTAAGAAAAAGCGCGAAAGTAAGTCACTTACTGACACAAAAAAATGTTTTTTAGGCACAGTTGGACGTAAAATTTATTTAATCGATAATTTAGAAAGGAGAGACGTGGAAAGATTACTCGATTTCAAATTTCCTTGCTCGTAAGGTAAAAAGCTGTATTAGTAGATATATACTATAGTGAGGGGTTGTGCAAAGTGCTGTCGTTTTGCTGCAAAATTATGTAATTTTAAACACCACAATATTGATAACACGCACCTTAGAACGATACTTAAGTAAGTAACGAAATTAACCTATCATTAAATTCAAAATAAGTTCTGAGACACAAGGTAAATTGTGGAAAACAATGTCTTAATGGATCTAAAATTATATTCACTGCTTATGATGCACACAACTTGACAAATAAGTTGAAAATAAAGTGCATCTCGGTTCAAATTGTTATCATAGGGGATAAGATAACCACAGATAAGTTCATGTAGACAAAGTTCACATTTTAAATTATGAAATTATATGCACTTTGGAAAAAAGTGCAACATCACATTCTTGAATAGACGACGAAAATTTTGCTGATCAGTTTTTAATTACTTAGACCGAAAATAATGATAAATCCGTCTTGCGTCAGCGTCTGTTTGTATGACATGATGAGCTAATAAATGTTGAAAATGGCGTCAATTTTCCAAATGTACTAACGATTTTTCTTTAGGAGGAGTAAATAATGCAACTGGTGCAATGCAGATATCCCGAAATAACGATGCAAGCCCCTGTCAGGCAGCCGTCGGACGTTTGATGGCGAAGAAGTGTCAAGAAACGAGGCAAATTAAAAATGACTGGGGGCACGGAAGGGTAAATATTTTGATATGGGTGTGATTCCCTAATTAATGTTTAATGGGCATAGGTCTCCATTTTGGCGTAGGTGTCAAAGGGAGGAGCTTCCGAGGGCTGATGGAGGGAACGGCCAGTCAGGAGGGTTAAAAGCCAGACTAACGCCCTTTTGTCGCGCACATCGTAGCGAGTGCCGAAAGCGCAATTACCTTCCTGTACCATCGCACCACCGGAACCGACGAGTCTTAACCGGAACATCGGGCAGTCAAGTTCAGTGCTAACTACAGTGCTAACCAGTGCCACTACTAGTATCTCGTGACGCCGCGCACTTATATCCAAATTCGCTATCGCAGATATCCAAGGCAAACAAATCGACTTTCGACGCAAACTGTGCCTATCGAAATTTTCCAAAGGGCTAATGGAAATTGACGCCGCATTAGCCCTTATGTATAATTAAGCAGCCCTCGCGTCGACGCTTCAAATTTAACGCGCGTAAATTGGACTTGATAGAGAACGGACAGGTGACAACGGTCTGTCTTATTATATATTCACGATTTGCATTTGTGAATATTTAAAGATTGGCACGTCAACAGACGTATTATCCGTTTTTCGAACAGACCCTGTCGCATCGATTGTATTTACAATGTATCTATATGTTTAATAGTTTATAGTAGATTTTAACGATAGCACCAGCGACGAGAAGTTCTTTTTGCTTTTGATTGTTGCTCAGAAAGCCGTTTATCGACAGGCTTTCGGGCAATAATCATTTCCAAAGGGAGCTTACTTCTTCTGCGACGTTGTTTTCAACTGTTTGTAATAAAGATCTTTTTCGCACTAAGAGTTTTATTCCCTGTTTCAGTTTACACAAAAAAAAAAATTGACAGTTACGAACTTCCATACGCTACGATGAGTAAACTCACTAGAGCATAAAAACTGGTTTGACAAACTTGTTTAACTGACAATAATAAGAACAACTTGTAAAGCGTAACCCCTTCGAGTTGTTTCAAAAGACACTACTGCCATATCAGTTTAGTAACTGACTTATTTTATCACCTGTAGACAATATAGTTAACAATAAGTGAGAACAATTTCTACTCTTAAAGTCATTCAATCAGTTAATAGAACTGTCAATTCAAAAAATTATTGACAACAAATAAAGACACCATAGTATATTCAAGCCGTGTATTTTTGGCTCTTCGGCTTATTTCACCCTAATGCAAAATCAATACTAAAAACAAAATTTATTGCTTAATATATATTTGCAGTCAAAATTAAAATTTAACTGAGGATTTAAAACAATATTTAAAAATACGCATCAACAATTGTGCATTTTTGCGTTTCATATAGTAAACATACAAGTGTGATAAACTATTATACGAATCTGACAACAAAGATCAAAAATAAAGCGATAAAAACATGCGCGACACTCGGAGTATGTGACGTCAGTCTGGTTCTTAGTTCAAGTTCCACCGTCGTTGCTCAAAATCCACTTTCAGATTTGAACGATTGATCTAATTTAAAAGTCCAAATATTCAAGCTCTTATTGAAAAGGATACTTTAGACACGGGCGTAAAATTACAAACGTTAGGTATAGAAATTTTCTAAAATTACAGTGGACGTTGACTTGGCCGCCTTGTCCAAATATGAACCATAATCAAATGTTAGTGTGTGACGGATACTGTCAGAGTGAGTGATGGATTTTAATTTTTCCACGGTAAACTGATATGTCATTTATACAGACTCCGTAAATGTAAATGAGATGTAGCTTAGAATCACGTCACGTATTATTTCCTTTTTATAGCCAATATTTTATTTACAGTGAAGAGATTAAATAAAAACCCAGCATAACATTTTATAACGGTGAAATTATTAAAACTTGCTTATATGATTCTGGACTTTTTTTACTGACTGTATATAGTAGAATTCAATATCATAATGAAACGCATTTTACTATGTCCTTGGTTGAAAATGAGCTCTAATTTTTAAGAGCGTGTATTAAGTAATTCCGCTTAACAAGTAGTTTGTATAACCGTATGATATGGAAGCTACCGTAATATGAAGATAATTTTAAAGCATGCCAAAATTTGGAAAAATAAATTCTAAAACCAGAAACCACACAGGATTAGCGTTAATCAAGCAGCAAAGTTGTGTCTACCTCTATTTTATTTTAATAAGGCGGTGTTTATAATTAAAAAAATTTGAGTAACGGTGTGCCTCTCAAAAGTCTTGTTATTTCGTGTAATCAACATAACTGGTTGTCAAAATTATTACTAAATAATTTAAAACTTGTTTAGAGTTTCTGTTTGTTGTTATAGATAAATATTTGTACATAAAAACGTGACCAAGCTACTTAAAAATAAATCAGAAGTTTACATATAATTTAGTTGTCATATATTAGTCTAATTTTAGTTTTGTGAAATGTGAGCAACATTTTTGTACTACGATTTTCAAAATTTTAATTCTTATGTGTGGAAGTAATGCAACAAGAATAACCACGACCAACTGATGTGTGAAAAAGGGATGACAAAAGTAATGGAATTAACGATACATCTCTAAGAGTTGAATAAATGTCAGTTTGCTAAATATCTCTATTACATTTTCGAGAATTCAAAACAAATCCAAAACCCAAAATTTATCTGTCGCCACAAATAGTTCAGTTATGGATAAAACATATTTATAAAATATGATACATTAAGTTGGCTGTGAAATTTCGTGACTTTGCCGCCTCTTTGTGATAACTGATGACTACGCCTGTTAAAAGTGTCAACAATTTTTCAGTGTATTTGCTACTTAGATTTATAACATAAGCGAAGATTTTTTTGTAAATAAGAAGCACTTTCAACAAACTAAATATTTTTAACGAGTTTTATATTCTCCGGAGTTTTACACGTATGAACAGGTATGTTAGCACATACACAGTGTTGCATAGTGGGTTGCCTATACAAAAAATTATGCAACGTATAAAAAAATTATTATTGTTTTTATATTTACGACAGTTCTGTTTGAAAAAAAAAATGTTCATTTAAAATCATGTGTCTGGCTGATTTCGTTTTTCAATTTTTTGACATCGGCAACAATGTTGCAAAAATTTAAATCGTCGGTGAGGTGGATATTCCGTCACATGATTAGTGGTTTGTTTGCAGAATTATTACGGTGTAACAACGATTTCCTATTTAATGTTTCCAAGTATTAATTTCTAATATTAATCCTGACGAATATGTTCGTTTTAAATGAAATCTCTCATTTTAAATTTCTCCTTGTAACGGTCAGTGGCTAGTTCCACGTGATACCAACCTAACATGAAATTCCCCATCTCGAAAACTAGGAATAAAAAATTAAGGGCGTGGCGAACGGGACTTTTAAGCATTCCTTAAATAAAACCAGTCGCGCTATTTCGCCAGATTTGTATGTTTAACTTTGAAAATTCGCCTCGAACTATTTATCGTGTAGAAATTTTCATTCTATTCGGTTGGCCTCGGCTGTCATTTATTTTAAACACCCCCTCCTGTCACCTTTAAATTTTAAACACCGAACGTTGATCAGTCTCACACAACCAGACCATTATTTCGAAAACGAGTGCAACATTAATGATATTTCACAAACATGAGTCCACCAGACAAGAAGGCCCATTCCCCTGTGAAGGTGTATCTACTCCAAAGGTAAGTGTGACAATTCGTAAAAAGTAACTTATCGAAATGAAAACAAAAAACTTCAGGCCTCTCAACGCACGTGAAAAGGAGCAAAAATGCTTCAACGTTGTTCATGCAGCACAGGCCCGTGAAGTAGTGCTGAAAAATGGGGTGACGAAAAGAAAGTTCACGTGTGACCACTTTTTTGGACCGGAGACCACTCAGTCGGAGCTATACAATGCCACAATCGCCCCCATGATTAACAACGTAGTTGCGGGCAATAATTGCACCCTTTTTGCTTATGGGCCGACCGGGACTGGCAAAACCCACGCGATGTTTGGTGAGATGAAGCCGGGTGAGGAGATCAATTCCAGAATGGTAGGTTCATTGTTGTCGACAGAATTGTAGACGTTATGGGTACTGATAAAAAATGTTGTCAATATGTTTGATCCGTTAGTAGACGCAAAATTTTTATTAACGCAAAGTTTTGGTTTTGGTCATTCTTAATTTTTTAATGCATGAGGAATTTTGAGTGATTAATCAAAGTGAAAACGCTGTAATTCTAATTAGAATAGTAACAAATGCACGCTAAACTCGTTTGATGAATTTTGTGGTTGTGGGCGGTATATTCTCAATCACAAGATAAGAAGTTGAAAAGTTAAAACGTTTTTTCGCACTTCAGGACGAATCAGTGGGTTTAATCTTACGGGCTTCCCATAATCTTTTTGCTGAGTTGAGCAAACTCAGCATTCGGACTGAGTACACCGTCAGAACATCGTTTGTAGAAATCCACAATGAAGAAGTTCATGATTTATTCAGAGATAATGTAGCTTTGAGGTTCGTTCGTCATAACTTGATTAGTGTTCACCGTTTTATTCGCGTTGTTTTAGGATGTACGACGACCCACTTCTTAAAGGATCTGTTTGTTTGAAAGAGTTGAGGACAGTCACGGTATTCAATACGGCAAATGTTGTAGAGTGGATTACTATAGGTCTTCAAGCTCGTCAAAAAAATGCGGCTAATCACAATATTCGGAATTTGCGTTCGCACGTTATTTTCACGTTTTTAGTAAGCGTACGGGAAATCGACGGTAGAGGTGATGAGATTATTCGAAGCGGAAGACTGCGACTGCTGGATTTAGCAGGTAGCGAAAGCGTTGGACGGGAACGAGCCCGCGATTCCGGCAACGTCAACCGTTCTATCCATACTTTACCAAGAATGATTAAAGCTATAGCCCAAAAAATGCAGTACGTGCCTTATAGGGAGTCCAAACTGACCAGAATCCTACAAGATAGTTTGAGCGGTAACACCAAAACCGCGATGCTTGCCACATTCTCGCCAAGCTCGGGCTCTTGGGAGGACACCATAGCCACGCTGGAACTAGGACAGCTCGCTAAAACTATAGTCACAAACACTTACGTCAACGTTGACAAAAAACAGGTCAATTTATTGAAAGAGTTGGATGATGAGTTGGACAGATTGAAGTCTGAACTGGCCGCTGCCAAAAGACGCGAAGGAGTTTTCGTCAGCAACCAAGCCTTCAAACAAATGACCGACGATACTAACAACAACAATCAAAAAGTTCTTGAACTGGTGGGTAAAATCGCCGAATTGGCGAACCACAAAAGTTCGATCGATTTGCAGTATCGCTCCCTAGAACTCTCCTTCCACAAAACCAAAGATTTTCTAGAAACCGTCCAACAAAGGATTGTCGAAACACGAAAGGCTTTATTGAACCAAGAAGTAACGTTGAATGCCGTCACGGAAAAACATAAAGACACGGCCGACTTTACCAAGACTCTGTTAGATGTTTGTAAACGCTCCACGCGGAACGAAGAAATTTATTATCGAAAGTATCAACAGACAACTGCTACGAATAAAGAGAACGCGCAAAAGTCGAAAGAAATGCTTTCGATTTTGAACAGCTGTCTTCAGGATATAGCTGATGAGACCCAGCGTACTTCCGCGGAGAATTTAGCTGCGATAAACCAAACACAGGAAGATTTGGTTGCTCTGAGCAAAGACACGTCGGATGGCGCATGTTGCATGGATTTAATTGCGTCTGATATGCGCAGCTACGCTGACAACTATAACTTGACGTTGAACGAACTGGCACAAAACGATTCAAATTGTCGTTTAAAGACGCTTCAGGATGTAACAAGCGGCACATTTGAGCACGATCTTGCCCATCTTGGCACACAGAAGGAAATTAGAGACACAATGGAAGCCATAAAGCTAGAGTATGAGACGGACCTGCGCGATATGGCGCTCCATTCAGAGAATACTTCTCACAATGTAAGTAAAACCCAGTTTTAAGTTCGACAATCAACATCGTCGCTTTAGGTACAGAAGCTAGCTGAAGAAAATGAAGCTCTAATAAAAATAGCAAGGACGCATTTTTCAAAAAAGAAGTCGCAGCTTCGTGAGAGAAGAGAAGCCATTTACGAAGAAAAACGCAAGAATGATGCTGCGATTCGTCACGCGAAGGAAGAAATTGCAAGAGCCGACAAAGAAAAACAAGCTTTATTAGAAAGGGCCGCCATTCTAGAAGCAAACATCGCTAAAGTGAAAGCTATAAAAGAGCAAAACGCGAATATGGTCCTAGTACCAGTACGACAATCCGTCAATGATTACTTGGAGCAAGTAAGTTACATCATTTTACTAGTATTTGGTTACATGTTCATATTAATTTTAGCCGCGCAAAATCGTGAATACCTCAATGGCGAAAATAGAAAATGTTTTGCAAGAAGTCGAGTCTAATCAAAGTCTCGTGCACACTCAAGCAGAGTCAGATCGGAGCGCTGTACATCAAGCCGTCAAGGAAATGGAAGCAACAGTCAAGGAAAATCTAACTCAGAGAAATGAGGTAAGTCGGATTAAACTGTGGTATGTGGTTAAGTAAGTCGTTTGTTATTTAGGAACTTCGCGATGTGTTGCAAACCGGCCGATCGTCACTGGTCAACACAGCTCGACACAACGTAGCCGAAAAAACATTGCCGACTTTGGGTCGAGTAGATGACACTTTCACGCAGTTGTCGGGGAATCTAGTGCAACGAAACGTTAATCTACAGACGCGTTCGGCCGATGCAGCGCAAGAACTTAACGAATGTTATGAAGGCATTCAGAGCGTTGGACATGCCGGGGATACACCCGCTAAACAAACATATAAGTATCCCAAAGGAATCTCTGTCCCAAGACTGAATATGAACGGCGACGCCCATTCACCCAATGGAAGTGATAAATAAAGGTGGTATTTGTTTGAGGACTGATGACCATTTCTATATCAAATTATTTGTAGTTGTAATTATTATTTCACAATTTTATTGCAATCGAAAAATTCTATGCTTTATTATTACTATTCGTTATAAAAATGTCCAGAGTTCATCACTACTCACTTAATTTTTCTTTTTTCTGTAAACCAACACGAATAAAATTGTGAAATAAAAAAATTATTATCGAAATAAAAAAAGTCGTATTACATTTTGATTCGTCAGTTTGTAAAGTACGAGTAGGTATTTTTTTACGGTAAAAAATGTACTATATTGTGTAAAATTTAAGTTTATTTATTTATGTTTAATTACAGTTTATTAAAATCTTTATTACAACCCCCACTTCGTAGTTTTTCTTCAAAAAAATGTGACAGTTAAGGTCGATTTATAAACTTGTTGCGGACGTTGATGTTGCCGTTGTAAATTAAATACGCAGCGAAGGTATGCGTCGTTTATATCATCCGTTGAAAGTTGGCACGCCGTTGGGGTGACGTTCGAGATGATCAACTTTTAACTTTCGTCTGTACGTTGCTGTTGACGTTGGGTTTTCAGGGGGACACAATTTGATTGATGACTTAAACATGAAGGTATAAAACAGGTTGGTATTGCCAATTAATAGACGAAATTTTACCTTGATGGCATCTAAAAACTCATTTTGGACAGTTTTAGACGTTCCTTTAAAAATCATTGCTTCTTTCAAATGATCTGATAAAGCAGAGTCCAATTCAACCGTAAAATCAATCAGACCTCGAAATATACCTGGATTTTGTGGTTCCTACTTTTATCATGCCCACGTAATGCAAGTTCAAATACTCCGCAAAATTTTATGCACATTATCAATCTGCGTAATAAATATATGGCGATTTTTTTCGACCCTTTACCTGTTTTACGTCTATCTCACGCAGCATGAAAATTAAAATCCGCGATTGAGTTACTCCTGCCGAGCGCTGTCAGAACGGGACCGCAGTCCCGTTGACTGAAATGGCTAGGACGTGTGGTTTCTATGGCAACGGTGGAAACAACGTTTAAATCAGCCGTGATTCCGGTCTCTGTGCCCGGTTTTTATCAGTAATAACATTTCCAAGACACACATCTTTAGATGCAAGTGGATGTAAGCTTTGATACATTTTATACAAGTGGAGCGAGATAAAAAATTAGTTTTGATAATTATGACACAAATTTCCGGATAATTGTTTAAATATTGAAAATTACTATTTTGCTATGTCCAGTGTGTTTGTTGACGTTTAAGGGGGGGGGGGGGGCACGTGCCCTTGGGCCCCTCAGCACCAGCCGCCCCTGAATTGCGGCAGCGTGCAGTGCTGCCAACTTGAAGGAAAATCCCGTGAAGTAGGGGGGACATTTTTGATAGAGTTAACGAGGTCCAGTAATATTAAGCCATTTAATCACCTGTTCACCGAAACCCTCATATTTTAAATAGCTACCATCAGTTTCTACTCTGTAGCTTTCTGTCAGTACTTATGCATTGTTAAAGATAGTTCTCGACGTTTATCAACAAGATTTATCTTGTCTCAAAAAGATTACGTATTATAACTATAAGCGCTTACATTTTGCTCTTTTTTTCTTAATATGTGTAGTAACAAGGAAGGTAAAACATGTTTAAATTTTTGTAGAAAGTATCGATTTTGCAATTAGGCTCCGTCCCTCGATCGAACAACGAATGAAAAATTTATCACAAATGAGCTTGTGAAGGACATGGATGGGTTTTAATTTTTGGCTTGCTTTTTCTTAATATACATAGTATATAAGGATTTTGCAAGTAAACTCCGCCTCTTTGGCTCACGACGAATAAAAAAAATCATCAGAATGGAAATAGGGTGGGTGGGCGGGGCTTACATTATGCCTTTTTTTTTCTTAATATACATAGCCATCTTTTCACAACAAGAAACTTAAAACATGGTTAAAATGGTACAGTACAGCCTAATTGCAAAATCGATATTTCCTTATACAAATTTTTCATTTTAAACATGTTTTAAGTATCATGTTGTGACAAGAAACAAAAAGACAATATATAGGCCCGCCCACCCGCCCTATCTCAATTGTGATGCCTACATTTTGCCTTTTTGTTTTAATATCTGCGTAAACTTCTTTTCACAAGATGACACTAAAATGATTTCCTTGTAAAGATGCACCACTTTAACCATGTTTTAAGTTTCTCGTTGTGAAAAGATGGACACGTATGCTAAGACAAAAAAAGGCAAAATATATGCCCCGCCCACCCGCCCTATCTCAATTCTGATGATTTTTTTATTCGTTGTGAACCAAAGGGGTGGAGTTTAATTGCAAAATCCTTATTTCTCTACAAAAAATAAAAAACATGTTTTTGAGTTCAAAGAATACTATGTATATTAAGAAAAAAAAAAAAAAAAAAGGCAAAATATAAACACCACCCACACACCCCATCTCAATTGTGATGATTTTTTTTATTCTTAGAAACTTAAAACACGTTTAAAATGGTAAATTTTTGGAAGGAAATATGGATTTTGCAATTAGGCGCCACCCCTATGTCTACCAACGAATGAAAACTTCATTACTATTTAGATCAGGGCAGGACGGTATGGGTGGCTTTAATCTTTTCTTCAAATACATAGTATTCTTTGAATAACACGATACTCAAAAAAATGTCTTACATCGTAGAAGAAATCAAGGATTTTGCAATTAAATGTCGCTCCTTTGGCTCTCGACGACTAAAAAAAATCATCGTAATTGAAATAGGGTGGGTGGGCGGAGTTTGTAGTTTGTTTGTTTTTTTAATATACGTAGCCTTTTCAGAACAATCCACTTAAAACATGTCTCAAATGGCAAATTCTTGATGATAAATATGGATCTTGCAATTAAGCCCTGCCCCTCGACTTGACAACGAATGAAAAATTAATCACAATTGAGAACTGAGGTTGGGGCGAGTATGGCTGGGGCTTAATCTTTGGCTTTATTTTTTTCTTAATATACATAATCTTCTTTGAACATGATACTCAAAACCGTATTTTAATTTCTCGTAGAGAAGTAAGGATTTGCAGTTAAACTTCGCCCTCTTGGCTAACGACGAATAAAAAAAAAATCATCCCAATTGAGATAGGGCGGGTGGGCGGGCTACATTTTGCCTTTTTTCTTAATATGTGTAGACTTATCTCGAGAACAAGAAACCTAAAACATGTCTAAAATGGTAAATTTTTGTAGTAATGAACTTAAATCCTCCACTTTTCTTAAACAACTCGTTTAAATATGACAAAAGTTGAACATCAAAATTACTACTTGACAACGGAGTTTATAAATGACAATTTTCAGGTCTAAAAGCAACTTCAACGTCAACAGCAAGTTTATAAATCCCACTTTAGAACATCCTTGTTTTTTTTTCAAATTTCGTGCGCTTTTTTCCCTTCTGCTTTTGCCAATTCAGTCGTCAGAGGTCGCAGGAGCGCGCCAAATTTGAAAGGTGCAAATTTCCTAAAATCAACTTGTTTCTTGGGTCAACTGTTAATTTTATTTTAGTTCCAACTTTGAATACAAATATGTTAAAATATCACTGAGTGTGCTTGAAGTGAGATTTCGTTAAAAAATTTTTGTCCACGATACTCGTTTGACAAAATCACCAACAAACGACAGACAAACAAACACAAACTGGGAACCCATGTTTTCACATTCTATTTATACTTATGGAAAGTGAAAAACTGTACTTGAAATTAATTTTGTTTAACCTGACATCATCAAATTTTTGTTGCAATAAGGTCGATTTAATTAATGGCTAATTTCATGCTTTTTCTCGCACAATAAGAAAATATCGGGTTCCCACTTGTGTCTGTCTGATTTTAGGAAGAGTCGAAGTTTATCTGTCTAATAAAAATCTGGACAGACGACAGACAGACAAACGGACACAAGAAACCTATTGTTTCGTACTTTACGGGTCATGACACGTCCAGAACACTTGACACTAGCCAAGTTTACGCTCGGGAAGTAAAAATAGTGTCAAACTTTTTAGGGGACGTATAGGTCGTTAGAAATAGAGATGGCGACATCAAAATTTTGATGGATCTTATAAAATCATAAAATTTTGGCACAAGTTCGATAGTTACGGAAATTATATATCAAACCTTGATATTTTCCAAAATTGCTTTGTAACAACACGTTAGCTATCGTCTAATAAAACGTAAAAAATCTCGGACTTCTTTACTTTTATCCTAACTTATCCAAAAGAAAACAAGTAGTAGAAAACATTTATTTTTGTAATCAAATGCACAATCGCAACTATGAACAAACAAGTGAACAAAATGAAAAATGAAGGAACAACCTATCAATTAATCATTCTTTCTTACTGTGATCAGGTTTGTGAATAGAGAAGTCAAGTCTTACGTAAATGATAACAAAAATAAACAAGATATACAAAGCAGTAGCTAGCAAGGCAGGCTCGTGCAGCAGCATAAGTGTAGACCAATTATAAACGATCTCCACATCCTGGATATGTTGCTCCACTAAATTAGTTTTCCTCAACGTAATAACGGCCCTTCCCATGTTATCCAAGTACTTGTAAGACAACTGATCTGTGAGTCTTTCCATTTCGTACGGGGGCGAAATGACTACGTCACGCACCCCAACAGGTAGCACGATCTTCGTCTCCAACTCCTCAACGTGCATATCGTCGAAAACGTGATCAAGGAGCCGCATATTGAGAACATAACTGGCGCCAGTTCGCCGGAACAAGTACTGGTAGCTGGGTACGCTGTACCCGAGTGTGTATGAACTGCGCCAACCTCCAAAAAGTGGGAACCGCGGCCTCAATTCTAGCTCAATCCAGTCCTTGCGGGTGCGGACCTGGGAAGTGGAAATGTTCCCATTGCTGTCTCTGTAGTAGATATTGTAGGCAGCTGCTGGAAGGATGGTCCGGTATGACTTTATGCTGTGGTGGCTGCTGCTGCTGTCTCTCTGATAGTCATAACGCGAGAAGGATCCTTTCAGTTTAGCTCCGGTGTGTAAAATTTCGATGTTTTCTTCAACCGCGATGTTACCCCAGTGGGAGATCTCGATGAGGCGCTCCAGACGAGTGACTGTCAAAAATGGGGAGTTGTTCTCATAGTGAACTATCATCGGGTCTTGACTGTAAGCTGGAATGTCGTTGTAAGGTCCATATGTCAGAGTCGAATCAGACTGCGCCACCGGCTTCAACTTAGTGTAGTTTTCCGGGCTTCGCGAACTCAAAGTTACACTTGTTGTTTGCTTAGTAGTTAAGTACGGACTGTAGAAGTAATGATTGCCGAAATAGCGAACTAGTTGCTTCTCCTTCTGGCTTATGCTACTAGGATATGGCACTAAACCCTTCGTAATGACAGTTTCGAGAGTCACGACGTTGCTTCGGCCGGCAGCAAGGGGTTGTTTCAGCTGCACACTAAACATTTGATTAGGCCGATTTTCCACTTTCGTCGCGCTCAGTTTCAGTTCTTCCTTTAGGGTATCCTTCACGGAAATGTAAGACAGGTTTCCAACATTGTCGGGCTCCACAACCACTAGAAATGTGCGAACTGATTCTTTACCGGTGTTTTCTAAGGTTATGGTTGTGGTTATTTTGACTAGTTGTGATGTTAAATCGATCGTTCTTTCAACATTCCTGTTTATTAATTGCTGGTTGACTTGTTCTGCACAATTTACAAACCACACGCTAACCAAGATAAATAGGAATTTGTACATTTTTACTCGCTTTAAGTAATCAGACTTCCAGCATCACCAAAATTGTCACTTGAAGGAAGACACATCAGTGAACGACACATGTCACTCGCACGAGCGCCATCTGATGACACCGACCGTTGTAACCAATCAAAATCGTCCATGTAATAAAAACCAGTGACGGCACGTTACACCAAGCGACTATTAATATTTGTGATTGTTTTGTCAGGTTGGCAACCCATGTATTTAATGACGGCATACGTCATTCCCAAAGTAATATTTATGACAGCTGTCTCAACCAATCAACACATCAAAATTGACAACTCTGAATTGACCTACTCTTATTACAGAGTAATAACAGTAGCCAGAAGGAGTATAAAGCTAGTCATGGTACATGTCTTATTGTACCATGGTGCGGTAAAATTGGCAACAGAGGCGTCAAGGGAAAGCGCCTATATTTATGCAACCTCTAATACACGATGATCACTTTATTCCTCTAGCCTATTGCCAATCTCATACAGATAACTCAACAAATAAGTCTCTTAAATCATCGTCAAATATTAACGCAAGAATAACGCAATCAATATTCCAAATCACTTAAACGGCAAGTTGCCTATTTCCACTCTTGTCTCCTTCAAATTTGCGCTGTGCTCCCTCCGGCTTTTATTATTCATTAATCATGACTCTAAGAATAATTCAGAATCGCCAACACAAATATTTGGTTAAACCCTTAATAGTCACTCGGTGTTTATATTATGAATACCAGAGCTTAAAATTTATTTATTTCTGAAGCTCGAAGTATCCCCCAGAAAGAAAGACGTGACATTTGACATTACCAAACAAGGTTGTACTCTTTTACACCACAAAAACAGGAACAAAAATTAAACATTTTTCCATTTCTTATAAGAACGTTGTAACATGGTTGTAAATTTGTTGATTTCGTTGTTAATTTCAACAAGATGGACACAGGTTTACACATAATGTTGATATTTAGAATATCTTCCTGGTGTTGTTGCAGAAGATATGCTAGAGTCTTGTCTAAAGACCAACGTTGAGTCTTGATATGCTAGAGTCTTGTCTAAAGACCAACGTTGAGTCTGACCCTATTTGAATAATCTAGTACGTCCTAATTCACAAAGTTTGCCCTCCGATTTGTACAATTGAGGTCTTTTTATCGTACAAACTCTTCCAAACCGGTGAAAGCCTCACGATATACTAATAGAGCTTTAGTATCATTTCAGATTTGTAGCTTAGTTATGCTAAGAGAATAAATAAACCCCACATTATCAAAAAACATAATTAGTATATATTCATTTTTAAGTAACGCATGATACAAACATTTTCAAAAAACAATACATAAGAACACAAGAACATAATAATATGAGAACAGAAAACTTCGGCATCTGGCAGGTACATTTTAATATCTTTGGCGTTAGGTGCCATGGCTGGGACACTCAGGTGTGCATTTGACAACCGTAAAATGCCAATAAGGGCATATCATGAAACAGGATTTTGGTCCCGCGACCTCATGATCGACTATTGTCATCCCTTTGTATGAAACGTTTTGCTCAAGAAATATGTTATTCGAACGGGCTTGAAACAATAAAGTTTTGGGTGTTTTTTTAACCGGGGTACTCTTGACACGGACCATTTTTGCACCTTTTACCTGAAATGCTTGGTTTAGTCACGCTAAACAATACAAAACCAGTAATTTTTGCCTTTTATTGTAGCAAAAAAAGTTAAATCAAACGTTATATTTTTAGGTTAAGACAAGCTTTGCTCTGATTGGTCGAAATTTCGCGTTGCTCAATTGCCAGTTTTACGCCATTACTACTTGTCTGAACTATTGTTAGGTGTTCCATTTGTAAAATTATTGTAAACTGAAGCGAAAAAGCAACAATTTATGCAATCTGAATACTTTTCTTGAAGAATTATGTGGGCCAAACGCACTCCTATGGTGTTCCGTCAGTAATGCAGAAATCTGTACAACTCAGTAGCCGTACCAGCAACCAAAAAAATGACAGAAATGTCAAACGTCAAGGTTTGTTATCCATATGTTGTTCATAATATAAATTAACGAGTGTTAATTTCTTTTGAATTAATTCTCCTTATCTACAATGCCCACTTATTTTTGTATATTTCCCGTAAATTTTTGAGTATTCTGTTTGGAACGAAATTTTGGTTGTGTTACGGAATTTGAATAAATCCAAAAATGGATATTGCCAAATCCATATTTAGTCACCGAGACCGTGAGGGTTACGTTGGAAAGGAAGACCACAACGTGAGCAAACAAATTATGCAACGCAGACGATAATTAGTTGTTTTTAGAAACGAGAAATTGAATTAGCCATATCAGAAGATGATGTAGATGATGATTATTACATTGAGAACTTTGCTGAGGGTTTAAACATGAACGATTTGTTGACTCCTAGTCCCGGGGGGCCTTTTTCGGCCCTCACACCTAGCATGTGGCCCCAGGACATCATGGCGAAGTTGACTGTAGTCCCGGATGACCCCAATTCCCAACCTGAATACAGGTACAGGTAGCTACAAACTGTTTAACAACACTCAAATTATTACCGCAGGTTTGACGAGTTCGGCTTTCGCGTTGATGAAGAAGACGGCCCTGAACAAAGTTCCAATAAGTTACTAGGAATCCCGTTTGTGGAAGACCCACAAGATAGACTCCACTGGGTTGCTCATTTAGAATTTTCCCACAATAAGGAAGTTTCAGATCTGACTTGGGATAAAGTTGAAGTGCGCTTACCGAGGACTGATAAATTACGTTCAATGGTGCGGGCTGGGATTCCGCACTCCTTAAGACCCCAAATGTGGATGAGAATGTCGGGGGGGATGGAAAAGAAACAACAATCTGAGTTATGTTATAAAGATATAGTTAAAATGTCGAGCAACGATTCTTTGATGACGTCAAAGCAGATTGAAAAAGACTTGTTACACATAATGCCTACCAATGCGTGCTTTAGCCATATTAATAGTACTGGTATACCAAGATTGAGGAGGATACTCCGAGGAATAGCGTGGCTGTATCCAGACATAGGGTAAGTACTTAGTTTCACACAATTTTAATTCTTATGGCCGTTGTAATAATGCCTAAAATCGCTTGAGACGACTGGAGTCGATCTCGAACAGTCGTACCAACATACAACTGACGTAATGAATAGAGTCCTTACATATTATACCGTCGAAGAGTTGATTAAAAACATTTCCATCTTTTTTCCAGATATTGTCAAGGAACTGGCGTTATCGCCGCGTCTCTTCTTCTCCTCCTGGAGGAAGAAGACGCGTTTTGGATTTTGGTGACAATAGTGGAAGATCTCTTACCTGCCTCTTACTACAGCTCAACTTTATTAGGTAATTAACTTTTTTGAATAAAAATAAAAATCGTTACAAAATGTGTATCTTAGGAATCCAAGCAGACCAAAGAGTTTTGCGCACACTAATAACCAACTACCTTGCCGACATTGATGAAACTTTAAAAAATCATGATATAGAATTGTCGCTAATCACCCTGCACTGGTTTTTAACGTTGTTTGCTAGTGCCGTTCACATGAAAATATTGTTACGAATCTGGGACCTATTCTTTTTCGAAGGTTCCATAGTTCTGTTTCAAATAACGTTAAGTATGTTAAGGATGAGAGAACCGCAGCTGAAACAACTCGAAAATTCTGCTCAAATTTTTAACGCATTGTCAGACATCCCTGGCGATATTGACGACGTAGAGAAGTTGTTTGAAGTTTCTCATCAACTAACAACCTCGTTAAACGAAGTCATGATCGAAACTTACAGAAGACGACATTTAGCGTACTTGATGGCGGATCAAGGTGCTTTGGTTGGCAATCCTGAAGCGGCGCCAAATCTCCCTAAACAGCATCTAGCAAGGTAATTCAAGTCACTTTTCTTCACAAATAATCAGTCCTTTTAGACGCCAAGTCAAAAAGAATAAATCCGTAATTCAACTACTTTTATTTAATGAAAACACCGAAGACGACATCAAGTGCAAAAATATCAAACAAACGGAGATTTTAGTCGATTTGAGGGAAGCCATTCTTCAGATTGCGCGACATTTTCTTCAAGTAGATCCTAAATTAAACACCGAGATTTCGTTGGTTGCTGATTACTCAATGGAGAGTCATGCGGCTGATCACGATAACTATATTAATGTTTCGAAAAATCGAAAAAGGAGAGCGAAGGCTTTATTAGGTACGTTTAATACAGAGCGCATGCGCGACTTAACTTGCCGTTGTAGATTTTGAAAGACACGATGACGATGAACTTGGGTTTCGTAAAAACGACATTATTACGATTATAAGTCAGAAAGATGAACATTGTTGGATTGGGGAACTTAATGGGTTGAGAGGGTGGTTTCCAGCCAAATTTGTAACGTTATTGGATGAAAGAAGCAAGCAGTATAGTAGTGCAGGGGATGATAGTATTTCAGAAACTGTAACTGATCTCGTACGCGGCACTTTGTGCCCAGTAATAAAACAAGTATTAGAACATGGAATGAAAAGACCAAACTTCCTTGGTAAGTAGAATTGACACAATTTAGTTTGACGTGTTGGTTGACGTGTTCAGCTAAATGTGTAAGTGTAGTTAGTGTTTGCCGCCTTGTCTAAATCAGAATTATAGTGCAGTTGTCAAATGTTAACCAATCGCTCTATGTAGTAGATGTCGTTGTAAAAGTTAACGGCAAATGCAAAAACTATCGTTTTAGGAGGGCCTTGCCACCCGTGGCTCTTCATTGAAGAATCTGCAACGAAAGAGGTTGAAAAAGACTTTAATTCAGTTTATAGTAGGTTAGTATTATGTAAGACTTATAGACTAGATGAAGACGGAAAAGTGTTAACACCAGAAGAGGTAAGCATTTATTTTCTATTGTGTTTTTATTTATTTATCTATTACTTTTAGTTGTTATATCGTTGTGTCCAAGCTGTTAATTTGTCTCACGACAACGCTCATGCTCAAATGGATGTGAAGTTGCGCTCGTTGATTTGTATGGGTTTAAACGAGCAAGTTTTGCATTTATGGCTCGAAGTGCTTTGTTCTTGTAGTGAGGTTGTGCAGAAATGGTACGTGTGACTTTCTCGTCCGTTTTTGCCTGATTAAAAGTTCCAGGTACCACCCGTGGTCGTTCGTGTATAGTCCAGGCTGGGTGCAGATAAAGTGCGACTTGCGAATTCTCTCTCAGTTGTCTTTTAATCTGAACCCTGACTGGGAGCTTCCAGTGAAAAAGGAGACGAACAACCAGCCGCTAAAAGATGGCGTGAGAGATATGCTGGTCAAACATCACCTGTTCAGTTGGGATATTTAATTTGAACATTCCTAACTGTAAATGTTCTGTCCATACAAATGCCTTCATTCAGTTTTCGTCATAGCTTTAATTAGGTTGGGTGGAGAGTTGCACCATTTTTGTCACACAGATAGCGAATAAGTGGATGACAATAACGCCCAACTATAGGTTCCATATAAATTATTTTTCTAAATAATAAAACCAACTTATTTGTTAGTGCAATGTCTGACGATGTACACAAATAATTAAGTATCGGGTTTTATTTATTTGTTTATGTACAACTTACGACTTGGTCGTTTTTCGTGTTATGTGACAACACAATAACCAAAAATGTTACACTTCTAATCTCATTTTATTGTATTTATTTTGTTGTTGTTCTCAAATTTTATTCCATATGTAATAAAATTCCTAATTACAATTTTTATCACTGTCACCACCTATCGCTATCAATGATCACTGAAGGTCGACTCCAAGGGCCTTTGGAAGGGTTGTACCACACGGACCAGAGAAATGGAAACTGAAAATTACAATGTTGTGTCACAGAAAACTCTTATTCAGTGAAGTATATGTGTTATTCCACAAAACCGCCAGCAAGATGAGTCCATGGCTCAGTGGTAGATTATAAGATTGTTAGTTTAAAAATTACGGCGCATTCTTAGAACGAGTGTTTTTTGTGACCCAGAGAAATATTAATTACCAAAATCCGTCATCAAAAGGATCTTCATTTAAGTTGAATTCAGCAACGGGTTTTCCTCTCTCAGCCACCATGGGTGCAAACATGGCAGCTGGATAAACAACAGACGAAGTACCAATAACAAGACATAAATCACAAGTCTCCACCAAGTCTCCTAAAACCTATCAGTAGAACACTAACAACTAATAACAGACAGAATACTTGATTTGTCAAGAACATCAGGGTCTAAATTTTCCCCAAACCAGACAATGTACGGCCTCACTAATCCCTTACATTTTGAACATTTTGGAAGTTCATTAAGTGGAATTATAGGCAAAGTCTCATCTGCTTTAGCCGGATCCCTACACATTATTATTGTTATTTAATCACATTGTAAATATTAACAGACCCTCTCCCACGCAACGCCTCACAAATGGGGCTCTCCCGATTCACATCAATGTGTCTACACTTCGTACAAATAACCTTCTCTAGACACCCATGCAACTCTAGAATATTTTCAGACCCAGCTCTTTTATGCAAACCATCCACGTTCTGTGTAATAACCCAAAACTGACGCCCCTGTTCCTTGCACAATTTCTCATACTTGGCTAAGGCTTTATGTGCCTACAACACTGACTTTGTAACTCGGTTTACATGCATTCTTCGCTTACATTATTTGGCTGACAACTAAAGGCAACTTCCCTACGATAGTGATAAAACTCCCAAACTAAGGCAGGGTTGGCTTTGAACGCGGTTGGCGTCGCTAAATCTGTGGCTCTGTGAGTACGCCATAAACCTCCGGCCCCTCGAAAGACCGGAATTCCCGACTCTGCAGAAACGCCGGCTCCGGTTAAAGCGACAATATTTTGCGCCTGACCGATAATCTTTTGGAACTCGTTATAATCGGAAATCGGCCGTTTCGACATTGGGAATGGGTTGGCGATCTTGCGGGTAATAACATGCACGAATTTTTGCAGAATCATAACAAGGGGACAAGGGTTTGAGGTTAGGTTTTGACGTTACACACGTGATCTAGTAAACTACAATTGTGTTGACATGCGCAGTTCGTGCCACAGGATTGTGTTCATTCAAAAACAGAAAATTTTTTTAGCGTTTGATATCGTATTTCGGATTTTTTGCGGTTTCGTGCCTTTAGAGACGTAGGCGATAGCCTTACAAAAGTGTCGACAAGCAAACAAGCGAATATATTGGTGGAAAATGTCGGAATGAGTCAAGATATTAATAATGTGTTATCACAATATGAGTATTGTTGGTTGCCTATACAAACAATAATGTTACGTTAGTGTCGCTCGTTTTATAATAAAAATGTTATACAACTAGGCAACCGACGTATCACCAATGTATAAATATAATAAATAATATAAATACAAATGCACAACTGGGGAGAATTAAATAAGTCGAAAATTATTTTTTCATCAATCTTTTTCGTTTCGACAGAATGGGCGATATGTCTTCGAAATTGGGGGAAATTGTCTCATATTTTATTTTTTTTGCCAACAGATGACTATCAGCGTATATTGTGTAATTTTCAGCACCTTTTAAATCATTTGTTGACATATCGTCGGTAAAGAGTATCCGTCTGTCACTAGAATTGTTTTTGACTGTTTTGGTTTTGACATTATTGGAGCGGTGGGGAAAGTTGGTGCGCATGTGCGGTTGATTCTCCAGCGATCCAGTTGATCTTTTGATGGAGTTGTTGAGTAGCGGGTTGATCTGTTGGACATTTATTTTGACTCGTGTTTGGAATTCGTGTGTATTTATTTGCATTATCTTCGAAAGGTGATTAGTTATCGGCAGCGTGAGGTGTTAAGTTGTAAATTATCATTAGTAAATTTTTGTGTTGTGAAAGTGGTAGCAAAAGGGATTTGTCTGAGATTTACCTGGAATGGTATGAAATTTCTTAGTTATCTTCTTTAACAGCACGTTGGTTATGCATAGATGCGTAGATAACGACGTGTTTACGGATTTTTTGTTAACTTATTGAGTGGTTAATTACTGACATTTACAGTTTATGTTGATGATTGGTAATCTTCAGGTATGCACTAATACGTAATCGTGCAACTGACCAAGGTCGTTTTAGATTAACTCCTGCAGAATATGTCAGGGAAATAACAAAATACAGGAAATTGAGTCCGTTTTGTAATAGGTCGGCAAATACGGCATTGTTGGGAAACAGAAATTACACAAATCCATTGTAAAAAAATCGCAACACTCGAGGTGTCAATTGTCACGCCAATGAAAATAACAATTCGTACAAATGTAGCCACTGCCAGGGGATATAAACGTCATTCACTAAAATTTTAGGTTTCTTGGTCACCCATAATTAATTGATAATCTTTAATTTATGACCGATTCTCCCTCCGATCACTTCCACTAATTCGGAACAAATTCGCCAATAAACATAAATTATTTAAAATTATTCACACCGAGGAATGGAAAGTGTCCATTAACCCGGCAAAAAGCCAGAGTGCCGTTTTTCCCTTTAAACACACGAACCCCGCGGCCAAACTAATTAACGAACGAGTCTATCTGGGACATTACATAAACAATCGGAATTTCAAAAACCTGTTCACATTTTTGCAAACCGAACGAATTTCCCCAAAAAGAGAAAAACCATCTGTGGCGAAATCCACCATCTGGTCGAATTGCATCGCGACGTAATCGCCGAATTTAAAGGGCAATCAGTGCAGCCACTTGAAGGTCAGCCAGATTTTTAGGCAATTTAAAGATGACCTTGAGCTTGGAAAAATGATTTATTTATCGAGTGTACAAAGCGGCCCATATGGGCGAAACGCCCCCCTTAAATGGCCAGCCCTAGTGAGCCGGAAAGGTCAAGTAGGCTGCATTTGATAAAAAGTTTCGTTGCTAAGCACCTGCGACATTCATAATGCTCTATAGGCGTAATGTTTAAAAAACATTGTAAAGATAACGACACCCGAGTTGTGGCAGAAAAACAACTAAAAATAAGTAAAATCGAGGTTACTAATTATTTTTAGTTTTGTCAATAATGTGACATTTTGTTGGGTTTAAATCGGAATAAGCTGATCTTTTACACGTAAATGGCAACTCATTGCCGAATGTATCTACGACTTGCAAACAGTATTTTTAACAGTTTTCAGGGGCAATTCTGAATCAAAGTTGTTAAATTTAAAGGGTGTTAAATTGCAAATTTCCATAGTAACGAGTTAAATTCGTAAATCTGATTGGCTGTTTATTTTTTAACAACCTTTAAATTTTAACAGGTTTGATTCGGAATTGGGCCTTTCGTCTGACAAACCTGTATAATATTAACAAGGGAACAGATTTCGGTCATTATTTGCACAATTTCCCGGGTGATATGGCTGTCATATGCACAAAACGTAATTTGAGTTGCATTGACCATATGTACACAACTCGTTTGAAAATTGTAATCGTTTCAAGTATGAATAAAGACGGTAATTGTCGTCTAAAATAGATGTTCGAAGGCGGTCGATTACATCATGGCTTTGAACTAAACATAGTATGAATTACCAATTGTTTTTTTTAATCTGGATATTTCGTGGTATAACGGATACAAGTCGCCAGTTATCTCGGTTTTATTTTTGACATAATTGTTTTAAGAGTCACAGTAGTCTCACAAGGATCTCGTCTCGCTCCTTTATTTTTTCTGTTATTTATAAACGACATTGGCTTACAGTCGGATTAAATTGTGGCAGTTGGGGGGCACAATAATATATCTCGGGGCATGTGTCCCTCAACTCCGTCGTTTTTCGGTGTCGCATGTTTGTCACCTCTGCGCTTCCTAATCGAGCATCAAAACAAATTTCGGTTTTGTTTTCGTGGGTGGTAGAATGACCCAAATACCCGGACAAATAATAAGTAGCTGTCGAGCGTGTGTACATCTCTTATAAATTGTCGGTTGTTTCTTTGCAGGCATGTAGCCTGTCGGTAAAATGAGCGATTAGTACAATTGTAAATAGTTTGAATTACAATAATAATCTAAAGACGACAGCGTTCTTTCAGAATGCGAGGGTTCAATGTTCTCTCTTTACCTCAAGAGGATCGACAAGTTATTCTTATTTTGTCGAACAGAAGCGTTTGTTTATACGTGATTTACCACATGAAATCTAAAAAATTGTTGTTTTTGCGCGGTATCTCCAGTCAATCAATCTTCCCAAGCTTATCTCAAATCGGCGACTGATAGCGATACTTAATTTCCGGAAAATGATCAGAGAATAGGCGAAGCGAATCGTGAAACTAGGCCAAGCAAACCTGGAATAACCTTAAAATAAAATTGCAGTTCCGTTTTTACGGTTTTATCGTCGCGGTACTGTCGTATAAGTGTTTTGGTCTAATTAACACGGGTGTGGCTTAGATGCGGCATATTCGATGCACTTTAAAATCGGCGAAGAATTTCACTTTTCTTGGGAAATAGAAAGTCGGTAAATTGCCGAGAGTGTCTGTTCAAAACCGTGTAGAAAAAAATGTGAAGGAACATGAATAGAATTTTTTAACCTTCCCAGTGCCATGTTAATTCTGAATGTTGGTATTGTTTTGTTTTTGTATTCCGTGCGAATATTTTCGCACTTTCAAATAAACACACGCAATAATGTCTGTGTTTCGAATTTATAAACAAACACCGATCGCCGAATTGTTCTCATCAATATTAATGGGGAATGTGTCATAGGCGCGTTTCAACGCGAAGGATTTTTATTTTCGAAAACCAGATTAAAGATATGCCGAGATGAAAAAATCCAAACGACTTAGCGTACCTGCGTAGAACAACTTTTTTCATAAAAATTGTCGGAATTTAAATCACTACATAATAAAAATAAAGTTGATGTTTTACCCGGAGTTGGCCGCATGAGGCTCCAACGTCGTACTACTACAAGCTTTCTTCATGCATATGTTTGTTCCAGTTCTCAGTTTTTTATCATTCTTCTTTACGTAGCTATTTTTAGTACTTTGTTGATTTGTGCAACTGCTCATCGCATACTTTTCTTATCGGAATTCCTTCAAGATTAATTCGATAATTCCTATCTTAATACGGAGATTTTATCAATGACAGTTTCGCAAGATTCTGCATTCTAGTTTTCGTTATCCAAATAATAATGTCACCTTCTCAGAACCACATGTCATTTAACAGATTGTTGATCAGAGGCCCCTGATTTACGACATCGTAGCGTAATTTCGCGAAAATACCATCAGTTTTAAATAACGGAACCTATCCTATTATACGAGTAAGTAAAATTCTTATTGATACTTAAATTTCGTTCTAACGCGCTACCGTTACTCTACGTAAGTACACAAATTCGCTTAAATTAACGTAATTAGAAACAAGCGTTCCATTGTATAAATTAGGCTCTTTTTGAATGGCCGTCTTAAAACACAAACAGGAAACGCCGTTGTTCGCTGTATTCGTTTTTTGCAATGTTTAATGGCTTAGATTTAGAATAGTCCGTCTAATAATACACATGACTTGGAAAACATACGGGTTAATTTTCAATGGACCATCCTTCATGTCTTTTTTTGGATCTCTGATTCATTGTGCTTTTTCTTTGTAAATCGACTGTGTTTCCCGAATAAATGCAACTGTAATAATAACCTTGGTTATTTTCGTTTGACTGATGCTTTTTTCACGTGTTATTTCCGTATTATTCGCACTTAAAACATGTTGTGTCTGCATTAAAAATTACTTATTTACAGAATTGTCACGCCTGGGTTCCTTTCACACTTTTAATAACCGGCTTTAACGGGCTAGAATTTTATCGGTTGAAATACGCCAGTTATCCCGAACTATTTTTTACTGTTCTGTCTCATATGAATATGAATCATGTTTACATATTTAATGCAATTACGGCAAAGCACACAAAGAACGGAAACTGTGTTGACACTTAAACATACGCTCCAAACCACTAACTTTGTTGCTCTAGATATTTGTCAGTCGGTTTTTAATTGCAAGCATGGTCAATTATAGCAGGTGCAAGCACCAAATTCGACTAATTATATACGATTCGAAATTCATACGACTGTTAACTCATTAATTCAAAATATAATACTCAAGGGGATCGTAACAAAGGGTGTCGTCTACTTTACACTTATCTTTAGAACACGAAAAGTCAATCGATAAGGTGGCTTCAAAAACACTTGTCGAAAATAATCCATCATAACGCTATTTTAGTTAATTTTATTATAACCAACGTGGAAGTTTTGCGATCAAGAGTAACATGTCACATTTTTGCTTAATAATTATTTGTTTGTTGTAACTGATACGTTTTGTTATCGATTTTGTCTGTTATCGACCTTGAGCATAGTTGGCCAGTTTTTACTTTCTCAAATTTTAATGACAAGGAAATCAAGATTCAGTCACATATCGGTAGTGTTTATTTAAACTTAAAAATATGGTACAAGTAGAGCATCAGTGTGTTGTGAAATCTGCAACGGTATAGATGTAAACGAGCTAATTGGTAATGGTCTATTAAGTATACATGTACAAGACGAGTCTGGAAGATGGTTGAAATAACCACTAATGCGAAATTTCTCGTCCCTGATTTTCTGCTCGCGGAGACAAAGACATTAGAAAAATTCCCTCTCCGTCACATCGCAGCGAGCATCAGAAGTGGTTTGAAAATAATCTCTTTAGTTCAAGTTAACAAAAAAGTAATCCGGTTTGAGGATATGAAATAACATCCAGTTGAGTTATTCTAGGACAAAAAATACCATAACCTATCTCGTAGTCGTAACCACTTCCTAGAGTTGTCTGCTGCATGTGACACCCACCAGTACATACATGACTTAACTGACACTTCATGTTACAAATAAACAATACTCCCGTCTCTGTTTTTTATGAGTAGAGGTCTTGTTCTATTTTAGCCGGATTTAAAGATCCATGAATAGACAATAGATACA